CCTTTTATTTTCTGCATAAGATCCTTTGATCAACTACATAAGATCAATTTATTTACTAATTAAAGATTAAAGTTACTAACCCATAAAAATAAGATTCTTTTTTTGCTAAAAATTGACAAAAATTAAATGAGTTATGAGATTAAAATAATATTACATGAGAAAAAAATAACTCTAAATAACTGTTAATATTTGTATCAAACTGTTAATATTAGTATCCAAACCAAGTAGTGTTGAACTTCTAAAAAAAGTTTTGAACATATTGAACTTTCAACCCTCTTGTCAAAATCGCATTAAATCGATGTTGCACATTGATTTAATGATATATATATGCATGTATATATATATATATATATATATATATATATATATATATATATATATATATATATATATATATATATATATACATATATATTCAACAACCCACACAAGTTAGGCAAACTCGTTTTAAGTTAAAAACTAAAAACAAATGCAATGTAATAAATGATAAGCTTGTTGGCGTTAACAATTTTTAACCTAACCCGACGGGCATTTGTTTTTAAAAGTTACGATCTAAATGTATTTTAAATGTCTTTTAAACGTCTTTTAAACATTAATGTTTAAAAGACGTTTAAAAGACGTTTAAAACACATTTAGAACGTAACTTTTAAAAACAAATGCCCGTCGGGAAGGTTAATAAAACTTTCAAAATCACATATAACAGATCATCGCGTTGATAAATATAACGTCTAGGGAGGCAAAAAAGATCAGGCGCTCATCGCGTTGATAAATATAACGTCTAGGGAGGCAAAAAAAAAAAAGGAAGTATTAAATAGTACAGCGGTGGTTGGAACGGAAATTTATTTATTTCGTTAAGCCGTTTTTAAACACAAGGCGAGAAGGCCACCAAAAAAACAACAATTTTTTCATTGAAAATAGTTGTCTTTTTTTATCAGACTATGAAAGCAATCGATTTAAGTGCTAAAAAAGGATGAAATGTGTGAACAAAGAAAATGTCCTGCATCCGCTCCAGAGTTTCTTTTCAGTCTATAAAGTGTTCTTTTAGCAGATGATTAAAGCAACCGACTAGATCGCCACCTGTTAAATGCGTGGCCTGTTTTACGAAATTAGATCACTAACATTTGAATAGGCAAAATAAGTAAACGAAAAAAAATGTCCTTGATTCGCAACAGAAATACTTTTTAGTCGATAGACAGCACATTTTATGAAATGATAGAATCAATCGACTAGATCACCATTTGTCAAATGGCGGCCTAAGTCACGTGATTGCAAAACGTGGCATTTTTGGTGCTATTAAGTTTATAACTACGCTTCCTTCGATATTTTTTATGTTTACTTTTTTTTTATTTATTTGATTTTTCATTATTGCTAATAATAATATTCTTATTTTTACTACTACTACTACTACTACTACTACTACTACTACTACTACTACTACTACTACTACTACTACTACTACTACTACTACTACTACTACTACTACTACTACTACTACTACTACTACTACTACTACTACTACTACTACTACTACTACTACTACTACTACTACTACTACTACTACTACTACTACTACTACTACTACTACTACTACTACTACTACTACTACTGCTACTACTACTACTACTACTACTACTACTACTACTACTACTACTACTACTACTACTACTACTGCTACTACTACTACTACTACTACTGCTACTACTACTACTACTACTACTACTACTACTACTATTACTAATACTACCTGTTTCAACTTGAGATCGATATTTGCATGCAAAAAAATGCAATTCATACGATAACAAGAACTTGTCTATCTGCAACAGAAAAAATATAGTCAAGAGATGCCATTGTAAATAATTATGCACCGCAAACAAGCTCATTTTTTTCAGTAGTGATCATATTTGTAGCAATCGCAAATCACTTGACAAAAAACAAAAAAAAAACAAAAACAAAAAAAATTGAAACTCTTGAAAAATTCTTATTTATTTAAACTAAAACATTTTCCAGAGTTTCGCCAATCTTGTCGCTTCAAAAAAAAAATTTTCTTGCCTCCAACGTTTCGAGGTGACCTGCAGGCCTCAGTTTTTTAACATTAGTCAGTTTTAAAAGTGTCCTTTTTGCTGAGTTGATCAAAAGAAAATGACGAAAGAGTTCTAAATATAACGTGCCCAAGTGTTGGTTTTTATTGTCAGCTAAAAATGGGATTTAGTACGCAAAGATTTTAGAGTAATTCAAATTGAACTGTTATATATTTGTATCCCAGTGCCTCACTTTTATCTTACCGTGATACAAAACATTTCCCACAACATCGGGTCAACATTGAAAGAATCAAAAACAAAACTCGTTTTATAGTCATGTTTTTTGTTTGGTTGTTTCTTTGTTCTGTTTGTTGTTGTTGTTGTTGTTGTTGTTGTTGTTGTTGTTGTTGTTGGTGGTGGTGGTGGTGGTGGTGTTGTTGTTGTTGTTGTTGCTATTGTAGTGCAAAACACATGGATACTGTCATCAATTTTTTGATGGCCTTTCTCTTTTACATATATAACAAATGCTACATTAAAATTTATGCGGCAGACAGATGTCGAAATAAAATCAGTTAGTAAACGGCTCGGCAGTTTATTTAAACATCCGTCTAGCAGAATGTTTCGATAAACTGGCAAGCAACTGAATTATCTGCACAATTTTGAATTAAATGCGGCGAAAAAATCAGTACACCGCTTACGCACCTCCTCGCGGTGACAAGAAGTTGTAAAAGTACAGAGGCACGTGATGCAAGTCGAATCGTTTTTCTCACTGTCGCGCGTGTTTGTGTCGCTCGTTACTCTGCTGTCTAAGCAACATCTATAGCTTGGCAAACGTAAAACGTTGGTTTTTCCTCTTCCTGTGTTGTTTTTCCATCTTTAAAAGCAAATTTGCTTTTCTTTCGACGCGCACGCTAGTTTGCTTTTGACACAGCAGATTTTTGTCGTTTTGAGCGCATATCTATCGCTAGCGAAACGCTATCGAACGGAAACGAATGAGTTTGTTAAGCGTCACTATTCTACAGAGATTTTTCGAAGAAATGCAGTTTCTAGCAGTAGAGCTACGTGAACGCTGGACGTCTCCCTGTAGACACGAAAACACAATTTGGAGCTGGACGAAGTAGCTGAAATTTTTGGATAGTCCTCTACAGTCCGCACAAACGCTAGAAAAAGAAAAACAACTTTGGGATGCAAACATTTGAAAGACAAATTTATCTAAGCTGCAAAGTTTGTTCGATAACTAAAAAATGAGCGAAGTCGCATCTCCTAAGAAGATCGCTAAGAACGATCAAGAAACCATTTGTTACATTAGAGTTACTTACAACGTTTGATGTTGATTTTATGACATTATTAATTTTTGCCCTTTTGGCAATATTAAAATTCTTTGCGCTAACAAAATTCTGCAGAAGGCCACCAACTTTTTTATGTTTGTTTGTTTGTTTAATGATTATTTTGTATTTTTTTTCTCTTTGTTTGCGTAATTGAGACCGTTATAAATATGTCGAAATGTCAGTGTACATTCTAGTTTTAACTTGTCTATCTTGAAGAGCAAAAATTAAAAGAAAGAAATAATTTATTCCGCTCACGATTGAATATTGAGTCGATAGTGTTTCTTTGAATAACTGTCGAGTGGGTAAAATGGGAGAACAGAAAAAAATGGTCCTCGTTCCGCTGCAGAGTTATTATTTATTGCATAGAGATTTCTTTAATCAGACAATCAACATAATCAATTAGATTACTAGCTTTTATGCGGGTAAAATGTGTGAACAGACAAAAAGTTTCTAAATTTAATCAAGGGTTTTTTTTTCTGATAGAAAATGGTGTTCTTATGTCGTATGATAAAAGCACTCGAATAGATTGCGACCTATCAAATGGGTAGCCTATTTTACGAGATTAGATCACTAACTTTTGATCACTAGATTAGATCACTAACTTGGGTGAAATATGTAAAAAAAAAAAATAATGTCCTTAATCCGCTACAGTGTTACTATTTAGTTTGTTGACTTCAATTTTACGAAATGATTAAAACAATCGTCTAGATCACCAGTTGTCAAATGGGTGTCCGCATTTATGTGATTGCCGTGCATGGTATTTTTAGGTGCCAATAAAGTTGACAACTTCCGCAAGTTTTATTTATTTCATTTTTTTCTTGTAACTTTTTTTTCTTTTTTCTACTTGACATCTGTATTTGAATACAAAAAAAAAAAAAAAAAAAAAAACAGAAAAAAATGCAGTCTATATGACGGCTGGAATTTGTCTACCTCGAACAGAAAAAAAATAGTCAAATTAAGTCACTGTAAATGGCATTTTGACATTTGACAATAGTTATTTATTCATCTGTAGTCATTTATCTTTTTTTCCCCCCTCAATGTTCTAATTGGTGCATCGATATTTTCGTGTTATATCAAAATTGGATTTCTACTCTTTCGCTACAAATGAGAATAACTTTAAATTCAAAAGGCTTGCGTATATTTTAATTTATCGTGCTCATTTTCAACTCGTAAAACATAAAAAAAAATTAAGCATAAAACTATCAAGTGTTAATCATAATACCAAACAGTAAAGCATTATTTTTAAAATTCAGTAAACTATACGATACAATATCGGTATTATAACGGTCGATACTTTTTAATCCAGGTTTCGCTTTTTTTTGTAAAATCAAGACCCGAATTATTAAAATTTGCTTAAACCGTTTACACTCATTTTCCTATAAATAATTTGCAATAGATGAATAATTTTTAATATGTTAATCATATTAATTATTTTAAATATATTATACCAAAGTTTGTTATAACTTACCACTATTAAAAACGAATTCGATATTCAAGCACTTATTAAATTCGGGTCAGGATTTTACAGAAAACGCGAAACCTGGGTTAGCTCACTAGAATTTAGTTTCAGCCTATTATAACATTATTAGAGTGACGTGACATTCTGTTGATAAAAAAAGTGTAATTCAATAACTAAAAAAACACGATACGAAACTAAATTCTTGAATATAGTTTTTTTTCGTTAAAAAATATGCTTCTTTTACACTTTGTACAACTTCAAGAATTTGACGAATTTCCTTTAAACAAAAATAAAAAAATTTACAAGCAGAAAAACGTCGGTTGTATCTCTGAGAAGACATCGGTATTCCTTATAAAAAGGCAGACGCAATAAATATGACCAGATTATTCTTCTTCGTTTTCTCGCTTGGATTTTTTCTTTTTCTTCTTCTTTTTCTCTTTGTTTACCTACATATAATTTATTTCAAATTGTACATAAAATTTATATATTTTCATACTGTGGTATAAAGTGATTGTTACAATTAATCAAAACTTTTAATTATTTAAAAAACTACAGAAACAATTTGTAAGTTCAGACATCCACAATCATTTACAATTTGTGTCTATGCCTATACCATCTCTACAGTAGCCAATCAACTTCATGAGTTATTTCTTTCATTTTCGGACATATCCTTAGGCATAAATATTTGATATACCATTTTTAATACATCGATAGAAATGTTTTACGCTCTTGTTCACGCTACGGTGAGCAAGATTACAAAACAAAATCAGCATTAAGTCAACTCTCTATTCTCAGCTGATTCCATAGTTAAAATTATTGTATATAACATCTTTATTAATATAAAATTAATATAACTTGTTAAGCATGTTAAATTCAATACATCAATAATATTTTAATTGCTGTATTGAATCGAGTATAAAAAACTTTGCATATGTGCATATCAAACAAAATACAATTTAAAAAAAAACATACTTCTTCATGTTCAGATTGTACTTCTTCTTTAATTTCGATCTGATCAGAACTTATTGATTTCTTCTTCTTCTTTTTTTCTTTTTTAACTTTTCCTTCCTCTTCATCGCTACTTACATGCTTACGCTAATTTTTAGTTTTGATTAAAAATTTAAATATAAAATTTCTTAAAAAAAAGTTCTTTATTATTATATTAGTATTATATAATAAATTATAAAAATTATTATAATTATTATAAAAAGTATCTATATATTCTTAAAAACATAAAACAGTAATATAAGGCGAAAATTTTATTTTTACCTTTACCGATGTTACAGCATTATCTTTTTCAACTTTAACTTCTTCAGCCACAATATCTTCATTCTTTGTTTGACTAAACGAAATTTAAAAATTGAAATTTTGTTTTACATATTCAATAACTTGAATGGATTAACAGATAACTATGTACTTGACGCTTTTATAAGACTTCCAATCTTTAGGTGTATTTTCAGTAGGTTTACCATATTTATCTAGCAAGCCAGATGCAATCATTTTCTTTTTTTCTAAAGCCTACATAAAAGCAAAGTATAATTATTTAAACTGATTTATAGATTTAAATTTTATTTACAATTTAATTAAATTTATCAAAATTAAACTTAAAAATACATATTGCCAAACAAAATAAAATTCTTTAGTTATAAATTAATAAAACTATAGTCTCATGGAAATGTTTTTTAAAAAACTACCCATTATTCAATTTAATAAGCTCAAGTACCTTGGGGCCAAGCCCCCATTTTCTTGGGTAAGTATCTCTATCCATGATAACTCTTTTAATCTTGGCTACTACCCCATGATCACAAGTAGCAATTGTAGCTGTGCTCATTAGGGCAATGCCTATTTAATAATATATTATTTTAATAACATGAAACTTTTAAAATTTAAAAATAAACAACATTTAGATATTATAAGATCTTTAAATAATTGTCAAGTATAAAACAAAAGTATAAATATGTAATTTAAAACATTTGCAAAACACAAAATAAAAACATTTTGGAAGATGTCAACATTTTCATACCAACTGCAATTGCTTCTCCTTTCGTGGTCATCATAACAATATCATCATTCATATCAATTCCTGACTCATAGCGAAGAATACCAGGTAACATTAATTTTGCACCATAACATATTGCATTAACCTATCAGCAAGTAGGTAATCATGTATTAAACAAAAACTTAAAATAATTTTTTTTTCAATAGTTAAAAGACTTACAGCACTATCTTTAATAACAAGCCTTTTATGTCCTGTCAATAGCTTTTCTAATGGTTTAACTACTTTTCGCAAATATGACTCTGAAAAAATAATTTAACAAATATTAATATAAATATAAATAATATTAATATAATATTAATATAATAATAAATAATATTAATATAATATAATATAAATAATATTAATATAAATATAAATAAGTCTCCAGTTTGAATTGTGTAAACAATTGCAAAAAAATTAATACAGTAATTTTGTTACCATCTTTTGTGTTATCGAAAACCCATTGTGCATCAAGAACATCGTGCATTGTTACTAAATCCTCCTATAAGACACAAAGTATACACACAATAAAACACAGACAGGAAAAGTGCAAAAATAAATCAATCAATAAAAAAAAAAATTATCGTTTTACATTTTCAGACTGAATTCCTGATCTAACTCTTCGTAGCTCTTGCATGTGACCTCCAACTCCAAGTATAAGCCCAAGATGTACACATAATGTTCTTACATATGTTCCAGCTTCACAGGAAATCCAAAACACAGCTAAAATCCAAAATTAATTATTGTTTATTAAACTATAGGATATAAAACATGTAAATTATTCTTGACATCACCAGAATTTAAAATAGTAACTTTTATTACCTAAATTTTTTTCTTGATCAAACTCCAAAAGTTTGCTTTCATATATCGTTCTAACACGAAGTTGACGCTTTACAGCAGAAATTAAAGGAGGTCGTTGAAATAAGGCACCAGTCAACATTTCAATTGCCTGTAAAAAATTTAAATTTAAAAAGAATAACTCCTTATTTACAAATGGGTTAAAAAAATAAACAATGACAAAATACAAAACCTGAGCTAATTTATCTTTACTTTCAATTGCATTGTGTAATCTTAGTATACCAACATACTCTTTTCCTGTTACGAAAATATGCCCAATTTAAGGAAAAACAAAATATAGATACATGGTATAATTTAAGTATATGGTAAAATAAAAATACTATTGATAATTCATGACCTTATGACAACTTAAGAGCATTTGCAATATAGCAACATTTCTTCAGGTATTTTTTTTATAGTTGAGGGTGGGGTACCTAAGGTACTGAGAGACAGAGTGGATAAATTGTGTACATATTTTTACTATAACTCTAAAAAATATCTATCACATATTGTATCTGTAGTCTGCCTGCATATGGTTTTACTCTACATATAACAATGAGACAGATAAGGTTGCTTTTTTTGATTTACCCCCTAATTTATATAAACAGAAAACAATGTTTCTTTAAAAACAATAACTTTAAAAGTCATTGAGCTTTAATGTTAGATTAAGGTAATCCAAAAATAAGTATAGCTAATAAAATATAAATGCCAAGTTTATATTTATTTATTATAGTCATTTAATGATTACAGGTGTCGAAAATTTTAAAAATACCTACCCAGTTACCTGTCAAACAAAAAGATATGTACTGCTAAATAGACAATATTTTTTATAAAAGTTGTTGATAAAAGTCAATAAAAATTTTCATTAAATAATTTTATTTATTTAGAGATGTTCATTTTCACTTTTATCTTAAAACTCAAAGAACTTTCCAAACGTTATGTTGAATGTTTTCAGAAACTCAGATGGTGATAAAGAAGTTGTAACTAGTTTTTAATAGTAAGATCTTCAAGAACTTCTTTCACATATCAAGTTAATGGTATGGTACTTGTTAAACTTATATTACAATAAAGAATTTTAAACTTTGAAAGAGAATGAAATAAATTTTAACCTTATCAAATGATGGTTACCCAACATTTGATAATGCTAGCCGGGTTGTTGATAATGCTACCTCAGTAACCAATGGGTGGGTACTCGCCAACAGCCTTATAACTGATATTATATATGATATATTATATATATAACAGTCTTATAACTGATATTATAAATAATAATTGATATGGATATTTGTAAATTTAAGACCTGAAGAATTTAGAGATACCCAGAAGCAGGAAAACAAAGAGCAAGCACAACTGACAAAAATATCATATTGCTTGGCATAAGCTGTAAACTGTGAAAAACAATTTAACTTAATAACAAATAATTGCAAAATAATAGAAAATGACAGAATTTGAAAGGAAAATTTTGATATATTTTGCATAAAAATTGACTCATGTTAATGACTCAGCTTTGTACAATGCGCAAATAGCTTTAGCATAATTTTTAATTGGTTGATTTTGAGATTACAGCACATATTTTTTTGGATATTTAGTAATTGAAACTAATTTATTACATTAAATTTTTAAAATAAATCTTTAAAGTTTCCCTTAAGATCTAATTTTTAATGTTTCGTTTAATGCGCAAATAACTTTAGTATAATTTTTAATTGGTTGATTTTGAGATAACTGCGGATATTTTTCGGACCTTTAGTAATACTATTTTAGCTATGTAAGTTTGGACTTATTTTTTTTTTACAGTTGTAATTTTTTTAATATTTTAATACGATAAACTGACACTTTTATTAAAGCAGTGTTCAGAGCTTTTTATGAGAATGATAAAACTGAGAACTTGATGACCAGAAAGTATTTCCAGATATTAAAATTCACAATCACTTAATTCACCCCTTTATATAATATATTATTTTCTTTTGATTTTACCTGCTCCTTGTTGAGATTTTACTAAACGTGTTGTTCTATCGATACAAACAATCAAACAACCAGTAACTTTTGGATCAAGTGTTCCACTATGACCTGTCTTCTGGACTCGCAATATACGCTTAACCCATGCAACAACCTGAGAATACAGAAAGCAATTAATTTTAAGATGCATCTAGTAATAATCAAAATGCAAAAATCACATCTTAATAATGATATTGCAACAGTAAAAAACACCAGCAATAAATACCTCATGAGATGAAGGGTTAGCTGGTTTATCAAGGTTAATATAGCCAGCACTAAAAAAAGGATCTGTAGAATAAAATTTGAAAACTTCTACAACCATTAAAACCAAAACATAATAAAAATTTGAATTCGAGGAAATTAATTTAATCAATTAGACTAATAGGATAAATGAAATTTTTCAATTAAACACCTCCATAAACAAAAACAAAAATAATACAATAAATTAAAAACATACGCTAAATAGTCCTTAAGACTTCGTTTCAAAGGCGCACTTCCACTTGGAATAGGAGTATAATGACCAGTTCGCACATTTAAACGGTCATAATTCTAAAAAAACTCATATTCATTGCTTAAATATATATAGAAACTATTTTTTTCTGAAACGAAAATAAAAACATTAAATCTTAATATTAAATTTAATTCTTTTATATCAAAATCAGACAACTTTTTATGGTCTTTGATTTAGAATAAAAACTTTCATTACAATCTATAACAAAACTCAAATATGCTATTTTTATTGAATTTTAATAAAATTAAATACTTTTTTTAATTCGCTATTGACATTAAAATTATTCGAAAAGAATTAAAAATAATTATATTGTACCTTTAATAAAAGAGGCCATTTTGATGTATCAAGCTTTGGGATAACTGAGGTTGGTTTAATGATATAATCACCATCCTAAAATAAAATTAATACTAACCTAAAATAAAAGTTTAACACATAACTATTTGTTAAACATAAGTTAAATCTTTTAGTTTTACTGTGTTTAAATAACCATAATTTATTTTAACAATACTGTTGTCTTTTAGTTTTACTGTGTTTAAATAAACAATTAATTTTGACAATACTATGACAATATTGATGTCTTTAATGGGAAGCTTTATCTTTAACATTTACTAACATGGATTTATTACATAGCATATTTTATAAATTAATTCAGTCAACTTTGTAAAACTGCAACCTTAAACAAGTTTAAATTTAAGTAAAGTGAGTAAAAATGAGTTTTTGTTAAATTTAACAACACCTTTCAACAGCTTATTTGTTCATGACAATCAGGGTAGCGGTCAAATACAAATTTGTATTTGGTAAAAATAATCTAATAGGGCATATTTATATTTGTATTGTATTTGAACTTACCATATCTTCAGCAACATCTGAAATAAAATAAAAAAACTTGATAAAATAAAAATTTACAAGTATGAAAATATGAAAAGTATATTCTTTTATTATTTTATATTAAATTATTTTTATTATTATTAAATATTATTTTATTATTAAATATTTCATTATATTAAAAAATTTTATGTAAATTATAATACATCACAATAAAAATGAATAGCAAGAACATTGAGTAATACCTACCTATTCTTAGCTTTAAGGCATTTAAAGGTCCATTAGACCTTAATTTAGAGTAAAACCACCATTTAAACTCTAAATTTCTTGATAAAATAATATTTCTAATTATAGTATGAAATTATATTTTCTTAAAGATAATTTGATGATTTTTTGTTATTATCTGAGGCTACTGCATAAACAATTGAAAAGAGCTTCTATCCCATAAATAGTATATATTTACAAAGTGTTATGAAAGTATAATAAATGCTGAAAAGAAAAAAACATTTTGTATCAAACATCAAATTATGTGTATATTGTATCAAACATCAAATTATGTGTATAAGTCTGAAAGTGAAAGTGAAAGTAAACCTGAAATCAGTGTTTGGTATATAAGAACTCATCTGAGAAAGCAAAACTCTTATTTAAACCTTCCCAGGAAACACATGCGATTTTTTGTCTTGTATGTCCACACATAAGTATTTTATTTTAGACAACTTGGTCACGGCCATTTAAAAGTTTTATTATATTAAAGGCGTTGCAGAAAAAACTAAGCTTTAAAAACAAAGAAAGCAAAACTAACAAAATAGAAAATAAAAATGAATATAAAAATTAGATAAGGCAAAGCAAAAAAGCAAAACAGTTTCAAGTCGACATTTAAAAGAATAATTTTCCTACATTTTATTTGTAATAATATTTATTATTAATTGTTATGCAATAATTAATAATTGTTTACGTATATTTCGCCAATAACACAGTAGACCAAAAGGGAGGAGGCAGGTAGAAAAACACAAATTTTTTTGGAAGTGGTGAGATGAACATTTCTTGTGTAAAGTAAATGCCTTATCCAAAAAAGCTAATCATGTGTATATTTACAAATAAATATAATTATATAGTAAAAAAAGTTATTCATAAAAGTATATGCATGCATTACATAGACGTATTCAAGTAGGGACAATATATACTTGTTACATCAAAATTACACAAATATATCTCACAAACAAGCAGCAATTTATATTTTGGCTTTCTTTTAAAAACAAATAAAAATAAGAAAACTATTCTTTTTAATGTCGACTTGAAACTATTTTGCTTTTTTGCTTTGCCTTATCTAATTTTACTGCTGAAAATAACAACCACTCTAAAGAAACAAAAACAAAAGCAGTACACAAATTATTTTAATTATTAATTTTTTTCTATTTAAATTTATTTTTATTCTGTATTTTTTTAGTTTTGATTTCTTTGTTCTTGAAACTTAGTTTCTTCTGCAACACTTAATATTATAACACTTGCAAATAGCGGTGACCAATTTGTCTGAAATAAAATACTCATGTGTGGACATACAAGATAAAAAACCGCATGCATTTCCTGAGAAGGCTTGCTTTTGATATTTTGTGAATAAATAATAAAGATAGATAATCCAATAGATAATCCAATAGATGGGTATTCCATTGGTTATTATCTTTTTACCCTCAATATTGCATTAAGCAAACAAATAATGCGATAGTAATCCTTTATCAGGATACACACCCATCTTTGCAAAAATTTAGAGTTATTGTGACATAATGTCTGAAAGATGTGTTAACATATTTTCTGCTGACATAAAAATGTCCCACATATTTTCTATCGATGTATTTAGTATTTTGACACAAATTTTGTCTGAACTGTTTTTTGATGACATATTTTCTGTAAACATACTTTAACATAATTTTATGTCTGAATTATTTGTTGTTTTATATTCTTAAAGAACAAATCAACTAATTTGTTAACATATTTTTATTTTATTCATTAAATTATTCTGAAATGCATTACTAAATTGTTAATTTGACTTTATTTCAAGAATATAAAACAAAATGTCAAAATATGTTGGACATTTAATGTCAGCAAAAAATAATCTAGACATAAAATTATGTAAAAAAACATGCAAATAGAAAATATGTAGGACATATTTTATGTTAGCAGAAAATATGTTTCAGACATATTTGACAGAGCCTTGTGAAAGTTTGTAAGAACTATTTTTGAGAATTAATAAACAACATACCAGACTTGCTTTTCTTTTTCTCTAAAAAAAAAGACATTCAAATTTTAACAAAAATTCAAATTTAAAATAACATTATAAGATACAAAACATAAGTAATGTTTTTAGAAAACATAAGTGTTCACTTCTTATTTTATGACAAAAATATAACAAAATTTAATAAAAATTTTTGACCTTCAAAACAAATCCAGATAAAAATAATGAATATTAGAATCTAAAGCGTTTAAATCTAGCCATTAAGAAAGAAAGACGCAAAAAGATTTTTTTTTTAATAAAACTTTCATTAACCATAAGTATAGTTATAATAACTAAGAATATATTTTATTGTCTCAATAATTTGTAAAATAAAATAATTAAATAGTTATAAATATTTTTTAGCAATATGTGTATTAAAATTTTGAATCTTTTATTTTTTTAATGTTATTAATTTATATTTTAAAAAAGAGTTAGGGCTAAACTATTTAGAGTTGCCTTAAGTTTTTTACTAATGAAACAACTATTTTTAATATATGTTTTTGTTTATCAAACATTCTGATCCATCCTACTATCACAACAGTCACAATAATATCATCGAATAATAATTTTTTCTTTACTTTTTTAAAAAACAATTAGGGTAACAGGGGGCATTTAGCGTTATTTCCTTAGTTCATATAATAAAATGCCTGATGTTTTTGTATTAAGAAAGAGAGGTATTAAGCTCTAAATGATAGAGATTAACTAACCAATCAGGGAACTTTTTATAACCGTACTTGGGTTTCTAACCAACGGCATTAATTTTTAATTACAATTTATAGATAAGTGGCTTTTCCATCCAGTTTTCAGTTTCCTTTTAGTCCTTTTTCAGTTTCATTTTAGTCCTTACACAATATAAAAATGCAGTTTTTGTACTAAATACAATAATTATTTATTCACAATGTTCTTTTGAAAACAAGAAACTCATTTTAGACATCTCTGGTTTTTCCAGTGTAAACACATCAACTCATAAATTACATTAGCTTGTGACCTTTTAGAGCACTTATTTTTTTAAGGTAGATGGTAACACATTGTAATATACAACTACAATGTACTAAGTTTGTGATGGGATAATAAAGCCACCCCCCCTCTTTTAATAAAAAAAATTCAAACAAAATATTATGAAAGTTTTTTTTAACTTTATCCAAAATAGCATTGCAACCTTATCTCTTCCCCAAAATCATCTATTTACCACAGATGATTCCATGTCTGTGTTCCATCACTTTATATCAAGTTTGTATAAACCATACAGAAAATTAATTGTGAACACAACGTTAATAAAAATGTTTTATTAACGTTGTGTTCACAATTGAAAAATAAAATAAACTAAAAAAAAAAAAAAGATCAAATAAGATCAAATAATGTCTTATTTTGTCCGTAAGAAAATGTTTAGCTTTAGTAAGTCTTTAAATTTTTAACACACAAAAAAGCAACAGAGCTTTGTATGCTTGTTTCAGTTTATCAGGCACTTTGATCTTTGATCTAAACATATGGAATGTAACACACAAAATTAAATATTTCCATTTTTCCATATAATTAAACTTTAACTAGCCTTTAATATTTCAATTTCTCTAAGTGAACATGCCTTAAATGAACAAACAACCAAGAGGTTTGGCTTCAAAATTCTGCAAATTTCAAATTTAAGCAAATTACTTCACAATTAAAAAGATCAGAATCAGAATATACTATAGCATATTTATATGCGCAATTGCTCACTTTTTTTGCTAGCCTAAATTAAGTGAGCGTTTTTAGAAAACGATGAGGGAAAACAAAGAATAATGAATAAAAAGGTTGCTGACCCATACCAAACCCTCAGTCCATGTAGCAGCACTCCACTGCGAGTCAGGCTATTTGTCAGTTGATGTATGTACTGAAGCCCCCGGCAGCAGGCTATTTGACGTTAGGTGAGTATGACATCATCATGCTCACCTAACTCAGCTCATAATATTTATTTTTAATGTTTTTCTATGAAAGTAAGCAACTTCATCTGAAAAGTTAGTCACGTACTTACGCTTTTATTATCATTTCTTTAGTAATAAATAACTTGGACAACTGTTTTTTACGCGGTAAACATTGGACAACAGTGGTTGTTTTAAAGTTGCCTGTCAACCAGGCATCCAAGCATTTTACAAGTACTTTCAAGCACTAGTGCTCACAATGCCTCAAAATCACTACTATGTGTATTGCTGTCAGTATCTTTGTCAACTGCAGCACCATCAACTGAATCATCACCTTCATCTTCAGCACCTGCAGAAAGACCACAGACACTTATCTTTTTCATTCTCAGGAAAATTTTCTATTAGAAACTTTTTTCTCAAAGAACTGCAGCCCAGATTTGCGCAAACTTCTGAGCATGGTGGGTCAGCTAAAGTCATTAGTTTTCCCTAGAGAGAAAACCTAACAGGTGATGAATGTTTAAAGAGAAGCAACAAAAAAAAGATGACACTCCAAGAAAAAAGGCCATGAAAATAGGAAATCTCCCAGCTGGAGATAACAGTGATGAGGATGACAACACTGTGTGCCTAAAGTGTGGTATTCATGGAGGTCAGGGAGAAGAATGTGTGTTGTGACTTATATGTTGTTTGGTATCATATTAAATGTAAAGAAATTCGAGATGGGACTGGTATTGAAGCCATGGAGTGGATTTGTGAGAATTGTCTTGCAAATAATACAAAAATATGTTTTGCATAATAGAGCTTATTGCCCCCATTTTTTAAAATTTGAGTCAGTGTTAGTTGTTTAGAAACACTTTAGCTTTTTTTTTCACTATAAGACTTTAAATTTTGCTGAGTGAAGCTTTAGTACATTTAGAAATAAACTTATAAAAATACTTATAAAATTTTTACTTTTATATTATTTCAAAGAGAAAAATTATTATTAAAAATTATTATCAAAGAGATAATATATTATTTCAAAGATAAAAAGGTTCTTGAAAACATTGGGCTGTTACCCAATCATTTAAATTAGAAAATCGTAATTAATAAATCAAATATAAATTAGAGACCATTAACTTAAAAATAAATTGGTTTAACTTCTATATTAGCATTAAATTTTATAATTAAATTTTTATAAACACTAAACTTCAACTTCAAATTAGAGGAAAACGTTTATATACAATTCTAAACCAGCATAAAATTTTTAATGATAATTGATTGTAATAAAGGGGGATAGCAAAGTAAAATGATGCAAATATATAACCAAAATTAGTTTGAATTAAAACCAATTTGTGTACTTAAAAACAAATTCTGCGACAGTTAACATATGAGTAATTACTAATGTATAAAATATTAAAAACATCATGCAAATTGCTGTATATAAAGTAAAAATGTGAAATACTAATAAATACTTCAAAAAATTTTCAAACTAAATTTTTTTAAATAATTATTTCATTTTGGCTTTTAAGGAATTAACATATTTATGGTATATATGAGTGGTAAACATGAGTAGTAAAAGCATGAATTGGAGCCAATTGCTTTCATGCCAAATTTTTAACCAGCATAAAATCTATTAAATTAATTTTTTTTTTCTAGTTTTGAATTTAACTATTTTAATTTCATTTGTTCAATTTTCTTTGTGTAAAGAATTATTGTGAAATATCCCAGATTTCATTTAAACTTAAAAAACCTAAATAGAAGCACTACAAGACAAAAACAAGTAAAGAGCAAACATATTAGCCACTAAAGAATATAGAACTTGTCACATTTTATAAAAAGAACAAAATTTCCAAAGACATACTTTTTACTTCGACGTCAGCCATTCTGGATTATTATTTAACGGCAAATTACCATGAAGCACGAGGTACACTAACAAAACCTCTCACGTGTACTTAGGGTACCATTTTGTATACGATTAAAGCTTGGTGTGAATGCTAACTGCGACGAAGAGCAAGGAGGGGGTGTTTTTGTTAAAATTGAACTTAATCAAGAATGTTTGCTTAACTTCTCAGGAAGGTAAAATCCAAGCAGTGCCGTAGCTAGTAGGTAGAAGGCTCCCCTTAACCTGTCATTAGGGACCCAAAAGTTTAAAAACCTTCCATTATAAAAAAAAAATTGAAAAAAATGATCTTTAAATTTGTATAAGATTTCCCTAAATTTGTTGGGCCTCATTCTCCAATTGAGGGCGTTAGGGAGCCTAGTTACAAAATTTTAAAACCATGAAATAAATGTTTTAGCAATAATTATATCGAAGAAATGAAAAGTAGAAATTAAGAAAAGTTTTTTTCAACAGTTTTAAAGAAACGAAAAACTCTGTTTGCAAATGTTTGCAAATCTTCGATCATAATTCAAATCATATTTCGCACTTCAAATAATATTTCGTGCCATCGGAAAGAAAAGATGCGTGAATTTTCTAGTTAAATGCTTCTCCGTGATAACCTTTGACAAGACCGTTAGGTCTTCCTAGGGTTATCTAAAAAAAAAAAAAAAAAAAAAAAATGTATATGTTTTATGACAATACGAAAAATTTGTTTACTTTTATTTTTAACTCTGTTTATTAAATTCTATTTACAGCTTTTATACAAAAACAAAAATTCTCGAGGGCGTAATTACATACAAATATAGCTTATGACTATCAGTAATAAATTACATCAATTAACTTTGATAATGTTATGACAAGAATAGTTATAAACGTAACAATAAAGTTTTATAACGATCAGCCATTATCGTATCATCCCAAGAACTAAAGTTCCTAAGTAACATGTCATTTAAATATGTCAATTTTCTCGGTTCTCTGGTTGATTGTCTGATCATTGGTAACAAATTATCGACGATTTCTCCGCCGTCAGTTTCCTCCTCAGCGTCAACAACTGTTTCTTCGGTTTCTTCTTCTCGTGCAGCAAAAATGTCTAAATCTTCTAAATCACTTTTATCACTGTCAACCTCTTCACTAATAACAATTTTAATTGAGGCGTTTGTAGAAACTGAGGCAGTAACTATTCCCACATCTTGCACATGTCTCGATACACCGTAAATTTCAATATTTGTGTTTGTGAGTATGTCAGTTACAGCACCAATTTTCCAAATTGAAGTGCACTTTGCATCAGCGGGGCGAACATAAACATTTTCCCCAATTCTATAGTTTTCATAACTCCTTTTGAACTTTCCTGAGTTTCAGTGTTTTTCTCCTCTTGAATTGGTAGAGACCAGGCGTACTTATTTTTTTGAGAAGCAGGTTCATGGTGTGTTCCCATTGCTGGTGTTGGATTATACTAAAATATCGCTAGTAACGGATATATTTGTGCCCTTTTAGTTGTTCGTTTTACTTTGAGGTGGTTACGCTCCGCAATCCCATTTCCTGATGGTCTATATGCACATCTATACATCTTTTTTACACACATATGTCTGAAAATTCACTGGATTTAAATACCACTCTATTATCTATCAACAGTCACTTGAGGCATTATGTGAATTAACATACTGATTCAATTAGCAATAGTCTAGAACAGGACGTATCTTCACTTTATTTTCCTGCTCAACTGCCATTAATGGGATAATCCATTCTGTACTTTATTCTTCTTTTTTGCATGGTTTCAACCACAGTTATTTTTCCCCCATAAGTCCATCTCATCATTAAATCGATGTACTAAGTGGGGTTTCAACTTGTACTGCGATTATAATTTCTCTGTTGTGGTTGACCGTGGTTCCATTTATATTTAGCAGTCCACTTTGAACAATCAAAATAAGCATCAAAATCCTTGTCCTTTATACCAACTGTTGTGGATTACGTCTTCCAAGATAAGTAGCAAAAATTGGCGGTTGTATCTTAATATAAACATTAATATATTTGTAATTATGCGGTTTTCTTAAAGATACTGGGAAATTACGCCAACGTAATTTTTAAGATAATAATATAATATTTTGTGGTTTTGAATTTTATATAAAAAATAGATGATATTTGTAAATAATAGATTCGCAGTCATATGTAAATAAAACAAAATAAACAAACAAGTGAATTCATTGGTGTCGCTGGGAAACGTTTAAATAATTCCCCACACTAAAAGGTGGCGATCTCTACCAGGACAAAAGGAACCTACAAATAATCGAAATGGATCAAGAGCGAAATTATCAGAGGGAGATCAACATGTTGAATATAAACATTAAATGCATAGAACGCAACACCGCAAGCAGCAACAAATCGAGCATAATCTTGGCTTTAGACAAAATAACAAATTTGTTGGCAAGATATAAAATGGCAAAAGATGAGCTGACCAGAAAAATGCTGGATGACAGCGAAAGCATTGATACGGTTGAAGAATGGTTATCGAAACCAATAGCGGAAGTTGAAGCAGCGAATGCAATTAAAAACGAAATGATAAATAAGTTGGATCTAATAAATAAAAACAAATGCGTCAAGAGATTCGAGTATGAAAAACATTTATGGAACACCAGTTAACAATCCAAAAAGAAGCGGAACAAGCTTCATTGCGGAAACTTCAAAACAAAGAAGAATGGTATCTAAGGAAGCTAAAAACAAAAGAAACATTGCGTAAATCTGTTGGAAACAATAACAAAGCTGTTCAGCAATCCGTCAAGCTTCAAAAGTATACTATTACAAAATTTGATGGCGATTATAAAGACTGGTTACGATTTTGGAATCAATTCACTGTGGAAGTCGATAACTCTAACATATCAAACATTAGCAAATTCAATTACTTAATGGAACTCGTCGAAGGAAAACCCAGAGAGGACATACTTGGTTTACTACACTCGTTGGAAGGATACGAAGAAGCCAAGCGTATATTACAAGACACTTATGGAAAAGATATTTGGATTCACAAAGCATTGATTAAAAATCTTGAAGGAATGATGGCTATACACAATACGCACAAAATTAAAGAAGTTCACGATTTTAATAATAAACTTGCAAAAACAGTGCGAACATTAAAAACGATGCACAAACTACAAACTGCTCAATCATTTGTGTATTCATTAATGGATAAACTTGGACCGTTTCGTGAAATTTTCACACAAAACGATGATGTATGGGAAGAATGGGGACTGGAGCAACTCGTCGAAAAGTTACAAAAATACATAGAAAGAAATCCATTGAACTCCGATTTCAACACTGAACAAATAAAATACGATAAAAATAACCCAAACGTACAGTCAAGGTCTTATGAAAACCGAATCAGTGCATTCAAGCAACATAATAGTGGTAATTATGATAAATCAATGATGACAAGTGTTGGTAAAAATGAATGTACCTACTGTGGGTTGCGAAATCACAAAAGCGAAAGTTGTTTAAAAGTGTTAAACGTTGCTAGACGCAAGGAGGTTTTAAAAAACAAAAGATTATGTTACAACCGAATTGGTTATGGACATTCCGCGGCAAATTGTCAATCAAGAGGATGCAGAAAGTGTAACAAAAAACATCACACGTCAATTTGTCAAAATGTAAATGCAACAATGGACGATAAAAAAGAAACCATGGGAACGGTGTTTAATGCGAGTACTACTATTCACCCGACAGTAATGGCAAAGGTAAATGATGAAAAAGCAAGGATTATGTTGGATACAGGTGCTGGAAGTTCTTATATATGTACAAACTTGATAACAAAACTGAAGTTGAAACCTACACGAAGGGAACATAAAACCATCGAACAATTATATGGAACGGTAAACAAACGTGTGGAAATATATAATGTTACGCTAGAATCAATAATAATACCGGAATTTTACATCAAGATTGAATGCATCAACGCAGAAAAGGAAATACTGACCTTTTTACCCAATCCGATGATTAAGGAGGTAAAAAAGCTATTTGCTAGACTTAGGAGACTGAAATTTAGTAATGATGGAGAAGACGATGAAATACAACCTGTTCACATAATACTTTGTGCTGCTGATTATCAACGAATAAAAACTACCGAGCCGATGGTTCTCGGAAAAAATCCGGATAAAGATCCCGGAGCTAAATTGACTATATTTGGATGGACTCTCTCTGGGAAACAAATGGAATTAAGCTCTGGTATTGAAAAGGGTTTTTTATTAAACACTGGTCGTGATGAGTTCGAGCAAATGTGTAGTCTTGAAGTTCTTGGATTGTCAGACACAATCAATGAATCAATGTTCCACCAAGACTTTAGCGAAAAGCTGCACCAAACAAACGAAGGTTATTATGAAACTAGAATGCCTTGGAAAAAAGAGGTTGTTAAACTGCCGAACTACAGAGATCTAACAAATAAAAGATTAAAAAGTGCAACAAATCTATTGGAAAAACTTAACAAACTAGAGCAGTATAATGAAATAATGATGGAACAGATCAGTGAGGGAATACTGGAAAAAGTGCCAGAAAAACCTACGGGAGAAATTGTTCATTACATTCCTCATCAACAAAAACGCGAGTTGTTTATGATTGTTCAGCAAGAAAAGATGCTTAATCACCTTCATTGAATGATTGTCTAGAAGTGGGACCCTCGCTGCAACCTCTAATATTTGACATTCTAATACGAAATCGGATGAACAAACTCTGCGTTTTAGCTGACATTAAGAAAGCATTTCTACAAATCCGAAATCAAGATATGGATAGAGACGCACAACGATTAATTTGGTATGAAGACTTAAAGAAAATGAAATTAATGGAGTTACGATTTACAAGAGTAATTTTTGGTTCCAGTTCAAGTCCTTACATTCTCGGCGCTACGATTAAAAAACATATATCAAAATACAAGGATATTTATCCAAAGACAGTAGTTGCTTTGGAAGAAGATACTTATGTCGATGATCTGCAAGCGGGTGGAGAAACGGAAGAAGAACTTATCAGGTTTAAATATGAATCAACACAAATCTTGAACGAAGCTGGTTTTCAGTTGCACAAATGGCATAGCAACGTGAGAGAATTGGAAAATAATGTTGAAGACAAATCAACAAAAATACTTGGACATCCTTGGAACAAGGAAACCGATCAATTGTTAATTGAATTCACTACTTGCATCAATAACGGAAATAAAGAAAATTTAACAAAAAGAAAAATTCTATCTGCAATCAACAGTGTTTTTGACGTATTAGGATTTAGTGCATCTGTGTTAATCACTGGAAAAATACTGTATAGTCGACTATGCTTATCAAAAATTGGATGGGATCATCAACTACCGAAGGAACTTTTAGAAGAATGGCAAACTTGGATTAAGACAATAAGCAACAAAAGAACTATATTGATTCCTTGGTGTGTTGTGTCCGGAAGAATTATTGAACTAGAGCTCCACGGAATCTCAGATGCAAGTAAATTAGCGGTATGTGCATGCATCTATGTTGTAACGAGCCACCAAAATTCGAAAACGAGCAACTTACTTGTAGCAAAAGCACGGATTGCACCAAAGGATCTAAGTATTCCAAGACTCGAGCTAGTAGCTGCACATACCTTAAACAAGTTGATGAACCATGTCAGGAAAACATTAGTCAATTATAACATTAGTAAAGTTTTTAATTGGGTTGACAGCACTGCTGTACTTTATTGGCTGAAAAAAAGAGGCAGTTGGTCACAATTTGTAAGAAACCGAGTTCAGCAAATCTTATTAAATGAAGAAGTAAAATGGCTTTATGTCCCAACAAAAGAAAACCCTAGCGATCTTGGAACAAGAGGAGTGAGTCCGGAAAAGTTGTCAAGCTTGTGGTTCAATGGTCCAATATGGCTGAGTTATAAAGAAAATTGGCCAAACCAATCGGAAATATTTGATAAGTATTGCTCTAAAGGAGAACGTCTAGATGGTAACAGAAGAAATAAAGGAAAATCGCACTTTTGAAGAATTGTGGAATAAATATAGTTATTGGAAGATTTTAAGGATAACGTCGTTTATAAAAAGGTTCATTTACAATTGTCTCAAAAAAGAAAAAATAGTCGGACCAATAAAAACGGAAGAGATGATAGAAGCCGAAACGGTCAATATTAAACATCTTCAAGGATCTGTTGTACTAAAAGCCGATATGGAACTTAAACAGGATGAAAAGAATCTTTCGAGGTGTCATGGAAGAGTTACTTGGTATAGCCCATTATTTATACCAAAAGGGTTCTTACTAACTCTACGAATTATTGAGCTTCATCACACCAAAACCTTACACGGAGGAGTCGGAGATACCATGGGTAGCATAAGAGAAAGATTCTGGATACCGAATTTGAGAGTGGCCGTTAAAAAAGTTATTTGTAGTTGCAATTTGTGTAGAAGGTACAGAGTGAAGCCTCTGTTACCACAAACAAAAGCAATGTTACCGCACTTTAGAACTGACAATGTTGAACTATTTGCAATTAGTGGTGTTGATTTTGCCGGACCGTAAAAGTATAAAGTACCAAAAAATTCGATTAAAAAATGTTACGTTGCACTTTTTACATGCGCAAGCACTAGAGCTGTCTATCTTAAACTTTGTCATGACCTATCAGCAGTAGAATTTCAGAGGGTTTTAAAAGAATTTGTTGCGAGGAAAGGACCACCTCAGATGATAATCAGTGACAATGCGAAAACATTTGTGGCAACAGGGAAGTGGTTACTTACACTTAAAAACGACAAGAATATTGCCAACTATCTTGCTATACAAGCTATAAAATGGAGGTTTAATCTATCAAGAGCCCCTTGGTGGGGAGGCTTGTTTGAAAGATTGGTTGGAATAATGAAGAAAAGCTTATCTAAAACTATCGGTAAAGGGATGCTTACTTTCAATGAATTAGAGGAAGTATTGTTGGATGTTGAGTTCTCAATGAACAATAGATCACTTTGTTACCAAGGTGACCAGTTCGACAATCAAGTACTGACACCAAACGTATTAATGAGGGGAAAACCTGCAATATTGCTTGAAGAAGATATTGCTTTAATTGCAAAAAAGGAATATGCAATACGGAGAGCCAAGTTTATAAAAAACTGTAAAATCCATCTGAGAAAAGATGGATGAACGAATATGTACATGCAATGGAAGAACGACAGCAAGTAAGGAATAAGGGAAGTTACATAAAACTGACAGTTGTTGGAAGCGTGGTACTTATTAAAAAGGAGGTAAAAAACAAAGCACTTCTAAATATTGGACGAGTTGAAAGTGAAATCAAAGGAAAAGATGGAGTTACGCGAGGCTTATAAATACGATTGGGGAACGGTTATGTTATTGAACGACCAATTCAACTGGTGTGTGACCTGGAAATCGATTTTAAGGCAGAGAGTATGATTGAATCTAAAAAGAACGTGGAAATTGGTAAAAAAGTGGAAACCCTAAAAAGAGTACCGAGACGGGCGAATATAGATGCAAGAAAAAAAATCAGTTGCAACATGGAAGACGAGATGGCTGATTAAAGCCGAAGTCTCAGCTTTAATCGGGGGAGTGTGTTGTGGATTACGTCTTCCAAGATAAGTAGCAAAAATTAGCGGTTGTATCTTAATATAAACATTAATATATTTGTAATGATGCGGTCTTCATAAAGATACTGGGAAATTACGCCAACGTAATTTTTAAGATAATAATATAGTATTTTGTGGTTTTGAATTTTATATAAAAAATAGATGATATTTGTAAATAATAGATTCGCAGCCATATGTAAATAAAACAAAATAAACAAACAAGTGAATTCATTAGTGTCGCTGGGAAACATTTAAATAATTCACCACACAACAGCCTGTTTCTCTGTATAAGTTGAAACAAATCTAAATTAAATTTTTCCATTGTACAAATGCACTCCTCCACAGTGATTGATGACATCCATACCATTCATAGCATCAATACTATTGACATCACTTTTTAGAATCATTACTGATGTTTTGAGTTTTTTTCCTTTAATGATCAATGTTACTGTAGCTTCTCCTTCCGTCTTCACAAATTTTTCATTAACAGCCAACGCCATTAGTTCATTTCTTTTGATACGAACATCAGATTTCTAAGCCATGTTGTTTGAAATATTAGTTCAAGTACAACCGCTGTCAACCAGTGCTTTTTCTGCGAAGGTGTTCACCTGCACAGTGCATATTGGAAGCGCCGTTAGTTGTTTAAGGAAACAGCTGGCGCTGGCAATTCCCTATTTGAGTTTCCCTGATGCAACGAACAAAATCTTGCAATGTGTCCAGATTTTCCACATCTGAAATATTTTATTCCATCACTAACAATTTGTTTCTTCAAAAAACAGATTCAGGCAACATGTCCAGGCTTGCCACAATTGTAGCAGTTAACATCAATGGCGGATGGTTTACTGATTCCAGATATTTTCACTTACTCGTAGCTGCTTTGAAATTTCACCTGGCAATCCAGTTATAAACGCACTAAACAATAATTCTTTCCTTTCAGTAATGACCAAACCCATAAGTTGAAGCAAACCTGCTGAATGCACATCGACGGATTCACCATCATTTCATCTCCGATCTCTCAACTGCTCATAAGCTAGGAAACCATCGGCTGCAAATGCAACCTACAACTTTTTAAGTCTTCTGTCAACCGTTTCATTTATCTTTATTTATCTTTATAACTCTATTCCTTCTTTTTTTTTGTAGTAACTCCCAATTTAATCCAGTCTTGTTGGGAGTAAATCAGAAAAAAAACTGTTTTCTAGATCTACTAGATTCGACTGCACATTAGGAAAAAGACTACGAAGTTGCATCTCCTCTACCACTGGTAAAAGCAATGAAAGTCAATTACAACCTTTCTCATCATTCTCAACTGTTACTACCACAGCTTTAAACTCCCTGAAAGACTTTGATTGTTTTGTCAGAACTCAAAATTTGAAAATCTTCTTTGAGTTTTACCCTGTCCAATCAATCAATTAACTTACATTTAATCCATAAAAGGCTAACTACAAACAAGATTCAAACATTCCACGGTAGTGGTTAATATTTAACATTTTACATAAACAATAAAACTGTACTGCACAGTATGCTTAACATTTGGTAAGGCGGACGATTATTGATTACCTTGATCAAGACAGTTCACAAAAAATGAAAGAAAGATACATGGTCTAGGAACGTGTTATAGACGTTTTTAATTTAATTGGTTAACAGGGGTTGCTCAACAGGTCTCATAGAAACGAAGCTGCATACATGTTGGAAAACACCAATCTTCCGCATGTTAATATTATTGAATTCTTGTTATTGCTGCCAAATTATAACTCTTTTCTTCAATCTTTTATTAAGGGCGTCATTAAATCTAATAAGATATCGTATATATGTAGCAGATATCTTTTGCTAGCCTAGAGAAGAAAAAAAAAGATGAGGAACTTTATTAACATTACTTTTAAAGTCAAAAGAAAAACCAGGCAGGAGCGGATCACGAGTATAGCCGATAAGACTAAGGCTACAACTTAAAATGAAAATTTTTTTATTCATATATTTGCCGTTACATATAACATTTACAAGTTTCGTAAATTAAAAGTTGTAATATTTACAAGTCTCGTGAGTCAAAATATATAGTGAAATTTATAATTAAATAATACAGGCCGGACTTCAAGAAGATCGTAATGATCTTATCACGAAGCCCTTACTATGTGTTTGATATTATATTATGATTATGTTAAATATAATTATATATTAAGTACAACTATATTTTTATATTCTTTAAATTAAGCTCATAATAAAATAAATGTTAATAACTGCAAAATAATGTTAATAACTACGATAAGTTTATTTTTTAATATCTGTGTTGAGCCGGCTTTAAAAACGATTACTAAAAGCTAAAAAAAATCGAATTAAAAAGAGATCGGTCATCCGTATAAAGTTGCTCTGTGGCTAAGATATAAACGACCTTATTTTACGACATAGGATAACTAAACAAATGTTTTTTTCAAAGTAATATATTTTTATTGTCAACTAGTGAAGCCCGTGACTAGATTGCTTTATGCCTTGTGGCTATATATTGCATTTCCTAGTCTTTTTGTGTCCAGTTATTATATATATCAAAGTAAAATCAACGTCTAAATTATTTTTTCAGTAAATTAGTAACTATGTCGAATATTCAAAACATTAAACGTTGCGAAAAAAAATTGTTTACAAAACCAAATGATTTGAATATCTCACCAGTTTAATTTATAAATAAGCTTTTGGCTAGAAGATGCCCTGATATAAATGTTTTTATACCGACTGTTTAAATAGATCAAGGTTTTAACGTTTTAAAGTAACTTTTTTAACTATGTTTTCACAAAATAAAATGCTACATTTTTATTTCTTTTTAAACAATTTGTAATATTTTAATTTAAGCTTTAATTAAAGACGATCTTATAAGTTGATATAAACTTTATTTGAAGTTAAAATATTACAAAGTGTTTTAAAAAAAATATAAATGTAATTTTTAAATTTAAGCTTCAGTTAAAGAAAATCTTATAAGTTGCTTCTATTGTTAGTAGAATCAACTATAATACAATATAGGAGACTTTCTTATAATATAGGAGAGTAGGAATTGATTACCGATTGTAGGAAACTTTGTCAAACTAATTAATTTTGAAGTTGATGCAGGTTACACTATCTTAAAAGATCATTTAATATCATCCTATTAAAATTCCACATACATATCTAAAACCACACAAAACCAACTTATAGAGCATTGAGGTAAGGCTGTTAAGACATTTTTCTTTCTGAAATCTATAAAAGCTAGTACTTTTTAACTTTAGCTGATGAAGCATCTGATTGTTCCGATGAAGTATTTTTAATTTTAGGTACAATACCTAGAGATTAAAAATTTAGTAAAGGAGTAGATTGTAAGGAAAGTAATTGAATGGTCTTTCCTTAATGTCAATTTATACAGAAATTGTTTCAGATATAAACGTTTAGAGTTGCTATTTGAGCCTTAAATAATTAGCTATGGTTGAATGATAATAATTATTGACTCTTATATTTACAATTTTTTTTTTTTTCAAACATTTTTTTAATTTTCATTTAGAGCATTTATGTGTATATATATTTTTTTAATGTTAAATAAATAAATTTATTTTCTATTTTGTGTACATTTCATGATCTTTGACTTCTAAAATGTTTTAAAATGTCTTCTAAACTAAATACAATGTAAACCTCTAAATAAAAAATTTAATTCTATGTCTGTGTATTAATTTTGTTAGTGTATTCTACACAAAGAGTGCTCGATATTCCTAAAGAACAAAGTTGTAATAAATTAACACTATTTGCGAAGAAGCGAAGAATCTAAGAAATTTACTGTTGCAATTTGAAGTGATCTTGACAGCATGTTTTTAAGACTGTATGAACATGCTACTTAATTGTCAAAATATTTGCTTTTAGATTTCTTCAAGGCATACCAAACCCCGAGAAATCTCAGTTCGGCGAGGTTATAAACTTTAAACATCAACAAACTTGGTTTTTTAATATACTCATTGTATTGTAAATAAGATAAAGGCAACAAAACTGAGAAAAAATTGCCCAACAAAATTTAAAATACAGCTACTAGACTTTTCTCAAAAATATTGTAAAAATCTAATATATATTAACTTCTCAGTCACTATATCTGACACGTACTTACTCACTTGTGAAAAAAAGACAATGATGAAGGGGACGAAGACAAAGAAACGAAAGAGGAAGTAGAGGAAAAAAACTTTTGCAGATGTGAAAACATGATGTAAAACCTAGCGAAGACGTAAAATTTTGCCTCCACTTAGCTTTTACGCCTATGCACAAGTTTAATTTGTATAGGGTAGACCGGGGTTAGTTAAAACGTTTTTTTTTTGCCTTAATACTACTCACAATATTACAATATGATGATTACATACAATACACAATATTACTAATGATGATTAAGTTTAGTTTTTAATATTTCATTTATGTAGTTTTTAATATATTTATGTTCCCAGTTCACCACATCTCCGCAAAAAAAGTCTTAGTTCCTTTCTGTTTAGAAATTTTTTAGTTCGTTTGGTTTTGGAGGTGCGTGAATAAAGTATGGTCAGCTTAATTGGGTATTGCATAATATTATATAAAGTAACTAATAAAAATTTATTTTTTTCCTCTATAGACTGCACAAGAACAGTTTGGAATTTTAATCATGTTGTTGTTCAATTTCATTTTTATGAAGAATGCTGTCACTGTTCACGTTTATTACAATCTGAGTTATCATGATAAGCTTGAGTTTTTCTGGAGGTTAAAGCTATTCTTAATAAATAAATATTTTATTAGATACATTAGTGGACACCCCTAATTTTATTTTACTATAAAATAAAAAATATTTTTAAACTTTTATATGTCTAAAACAATTTTTGACGTCCCTAAATACCATTACTTTTTAAATAGAAAACTTGTTGGTTAATTATTGTGTGCTTTTGAATGTAAGCTAGTTAAAAAGGTTAAATAAGTTTATAAAAAAATTTATTTAATGTTAACAAGCTTTAAAATTTGCACAGGAGATAAATGTAACTAGAGCATAGGCAAGTAGTTCGTTTATTTCAAAAAACGGAGTTTGCTCTGATATTTCTTTTGATTATTTTAAATTGATTATAAAAATTTTTTGCTTTTCAAGTCTTACTCAAATGTTAACTTTTTTTAACCAGAAAATTGCCAACAAAATTTTGAATTTTTTTAGATGTGTGAAGAACGAAAAACTTTTTATATTAGTCGAAAAAAAAAAATGATTAGTTTATTTTGATAGTGGAATATCAAGACAACTTTTAGATAATATTCAAAAAGTATGTATATTTAATATAATATTCTATAATATACTATATAATATTCTATAATATACTATATAATATTTATTATACACTAAATTATGTCATTAAAGTTACAAAAAATCTGGTAATATGTTGTATTGTTTTTTGTTTGCTTGGTGTACAACCGGGTTTAACTAGACATAATGGCCCCAGCTAGAAGTAAATTGTATAAGGGATCGACCATAAATTACGTAACGCAAAATTTTACAATTAAACAAAACAAAAAAAGATCAAAAGTTTTCCCTCGCAGAGTTTTGATCTAAGTAAAAAATCAAAATAGTCCATTAAGTTTAATGAAAATCGCCGCGCAAAAGAGTTTAATATCTCCTACTTATGTTTTTAAAATATATTTTAACGGACCGATCCCTAAACAAACTTTAATTATTTTTCAATTTTCTTTATTCTTTACTTCAGCATCTCTAGGAGCTTTTGTAAAGCAAATTTTCGTAATACTTTAAATTATTACTTCTTAACAACGATTTATATATTTTTTATTTATAATATAATTTAAGTAAAATTATTATCGTAGAAAGATTTTTGGAAAAAAAAACTGAACAATTAAAAAAATCGTTTATTAGACATTACAAAGCCAGCTAGTCGCTGTCTCATTGGATGACAATGTTTTTCTTTGCGTAAAGTAGTTAAGAAATATAGTTAAGAAATAATTAAGAAAATTAGTTCAGAAATATAGTTAAGAATCAATTAAAAATAAAATAGGAAGTTGAGAAATTATTCAGCTAATAAAATTTAACATAATAATGTTATTTATAATTTTTTTATATTTTGATAAAAAACAGAACTAATAAAAACACACTAGATCTAAATCAAAAGTATTTATTGAATTTAGGCACAATCACAGCTAGCTCTTCTTATTTATTAATTTTTATTAAAATATTTATAAAAGATTAATTTATATTATGTTTTGTTATATATTTTTTTAACTTATATGAAAATTTAAAATAGCAATTAACTTTTCTTCAAAGTTAGTATTTTTTACTAAACACTTTTTTGCTAACGCTGCAGTCTTTAGTTACAAGTTGTAAGTTCCAACGCTATAAGTTATTCGTCGCTAGGTAAATCTTTTTCCATAAATGGGTTTTCATCGCCAGATACATCATTTTCAGTGGCATTAAAACCATCGCTCCAATGGTTAGATACTTTACTAAGAGAATTTGTTTGATTGCTGAAACTATTTTTTGCAGAATCAAAAATTTTCTCACGACCAGAAATAGATGATTTAACAGAATTACTTATTTTAAAACTGTGCTGACTTTTAATGGAAGCTTTTTTATTCGACGATTTATTCTCATTAGCTTTTTTATTAATGGTAGAAAAGTAATCATTTTCGGAAGTATTGTCAGGAACGCCATCGTTTTCAAACTTAAGCTGATTAGCACTCTTGAAGGAGACAGACAGATCTTTTTCGATGTTATTTTTTTCTTTATCTGCTTTACCTTTTCCAATACCTAGTTTTTCGAAATTAGGTTGGTTAATTTCAAAACCCTGTTGTCCAGAGTCATAGTGTACCTTATTACTGGTAGATATGGGCGCTAAAAATAATTAGTATTGTTTATATTTTAATTTATTTATTTTAAATTTAGCTCTTTATTAGCATTTAAATAACTTATTTAAATTATAACTATAATTATGGTTAAACACTGTTTGTGATTAGATAAACTCTACTTTACATTAAATGGATTTTAATTGATTTACGGTGACTATAAACATAAAATAACTTTAATAAAATAAAAGCTTAATTATTATTGACAAATTGTATATTTTTTAAAGTTAGTTTTTTATTTTTAATAACTAGTTTTAATTTATGTTAACTGTGTAAATCTTTATGTTAAAATGAGAAATAAGCTAGAAATAATTAAATTGAAAGTTAATCTAACTAGAACTGTTTTTAATTATGTAAACATATATATATATATATATATATATATATATATATATATATATATATATATATATATATATATATATATATATATATATATATATATATATATACACACATACTTATTTTAAAGTTAAGATTTTAAAATTACTAATCAGGAATCATAGAATTTTAGCATAACGATTAGGTTTCTGTTTAATTTTGTCATAATTATATTTTTTACGTTAAATATGATGTTAAATTTAATTGGACAGTGCATAAATTTTTTATGTATCCTTTTTCGATATTTTCACATCAATCAACTCACCCGGTGTAAGCATCATAATTATTTCACCATCATTATGATGCTTACACTGGGTGACTTGATTGCTTTTATGTATCCTTCAAATTACATAATTTTTTTTATTAATTAGGATATAGTTTTATTTTCTTTACTGACAGTTCTACAATTAGATTATACCTAAGCGCTGATTAAGATTTTAAGTGCCAAGTTTTTTAATTAACCCCCCAAAAAATCCAAATACTGATTTAAAAAACTTAAGCAAAAAAGCCTTGACTTAATTATTTTTAAAGAAAATTCTTACTTTGTTTTCAGCGTTATCTAACATGCACTGGGCAATACATGCACCATAACCCAGGTTATGCTACATTTATGGTATTATATTTATACCTTTGTATACTTAAGTTCTAAGAAGGTATTATTCTAGTTACGCGTTTGCATATAAACATGTTTTGGAATAATTTTTAACAAATCACTGCTTCACTTTTTACTTATATAGAATAGTAACAAGTAGCATAACGATTTCATTTCTAATAAATTTTTAAATTAACAAGTAAAAAAATATACACATTTAAATTAAAAAAATATATAAAGATTTTGTATGTTAAACTTTTGGTTGGTTTTATTCGGTGGTTGCATTATTATGATCATCAACTGTCTCTGTTTGATGTGTTTCTGAAGATATTCCTTGATGATCTACCGGATTGTTTTCCGGGACAACCGTATTTACTTCATCAACTACATTTCCAGATTCACTTTCGATAGCACTTTTACCAGTGTGCATTTCATTTTCATTATTTTGAACATCATGTTCAGTGTCTTTATTTGAATTTACACGAACTTCACTGCCTACTCGAATTTCTGGTGTAATACGTCCAGTGGTAGGTGAAACGCGTTCAGGATTATTTGTAATATGACCAGTGACAGGTACATCTACATTGTTAAGCGACATACGTCTGTTACTAGGCGAAGCATGGCTGGTGTTAGCCAAAACATGAACTGAAGCTTGTTCGTTTTTTGGTAAATTAGACTCAGCACTTGATGCAATATGTTCATTGCTATTTAAGATGTCTGCAGTACTAGACAGTATTTTTCCATTACTCGGTGAAAAACCTTCAGTTGTTGGAGAAGCACGACCAATGCTGTGCGAAGTACTTTTAGAACTTGGAGGAATGTGTTTAGCGCTTGGTGAAGTACCTCGAGAGTTCGGTAAACTATCGCCAGTTTGAGGCAAATTACTATTAGATGAAACTTTCCCGCTGCTTGATACAATGTCTTGAGTTGCTGGTGAAGCACGTCCATCGTTAAGTGAGATACTTTTAGAGCTTGGAGACATATTTCTGGCAATAGGTGAATTAACTCTAGAGTTCTGTAATTTATCATCGGTATTAGGTAAAGAGTCACCAGGTGAAACTTTTCCGCTACTTGGTGAAATACCTCCAGTTGTTGGTGATGTACGACCAACATTACTTGAAATACTTTTAGTGCTTGGAGAAATGTGTCCATTGCTAGGTGAAGTAACCCTAGAGCTTGGCAAATTATCGTCTGCCTGAGGCAAAGCATTATTAGTTGGAATTTTTTCACTGCTCGGAAAAATATTTTCTGGTGTTGGTGAAGCATGCCCATCACTAAGCGAGTTACTTTTAGAGCTTGAAGAAAAACGTCCGGCGTTAGGTGAGTTAATTGCACCAGCATCAGCTTTAGACATAGTGTCGCTTGTTGCAATTTTTCCATTGATCGGTGAAATACCTTCAGTTGGTGATGTACGACCAATGCTATTTGAAATACTTTTAGTGCTTGGAGTCACGCGATCAATGCTAGGTGAAGTAACTCTAGAATTAAGTAAATTATTTTCTGTCTGAGGCAAAGCGTTGCTCGACACAACTTTTTCGGTGCTTGATAAAATATTATCAGCTGTAGGTGACATATGTCCATTGCTAAGTGAATTGCTTTTAGTACTTGGGGAAATGTGTGCATTTGTATGCGATGTAATCTTAAAATTGTCTGAAGTATTATCAGCTTTAGACAGAATATCATTAGGTGGAATATGCCCAGTACTTTGCAAATTTTTTCCAGTTGTTGGTGATGTACGTTCAATGCTTGATGAAATACTTTTAACACTTGAGGAAATATGCCCGGCGCTTGGAGGAACAACATGACTTGTAGGAGACAAACGCCCATTACTTGGTGAAGTGTTTGTGGTACTAGGCAAAACAGGATAATTACTTTGCAAATCATGTTCATTATTAGACAACATAGGCTGAATATCCGAGACTACTGGTTCATCTAAACTTGACTTTATAGAATCAATTGCTTTACGAGCTAGATGTCCACGGAAATTTGCTTGAATAATAACTGCTGCTTTTTCAGCTTCTTCTAAACTGGCATGATTATCAGCGTGAGTAACATCACCAACATTTTCATTTATAGTACCGTCGACTACTGCTTGAGAAATACTATGACTAGATAACTCTATCATAGTTTGATGTTCTTGATTGTTATCAAGAACTTGACTTTGTGACGATGTATTATCTGTCAAGTGTTTACTAGATAAAGCTTCTGCATTCTTAATAGAACTCGAACGCTTATTTATATTAACAGCGGAACTTCGAGTAGAATTTACTAAACTTTCTTGGTTCATTAGCAAAGTATTATCCAGAAGCGGTGCCTCATTTTGTATTGCACCATGTTTAGACGACACGCCATTCTTTTCATGGGAAATAGAATTCAAATTGGAATTTCTCTTCGGTACAGAGTCTTTCCTAAAGGGAACATTTTGAGGCAAAACATTATCTTTTTCATCTTGAACAGAATCTTTTTTTTTCAATAGTGCTGTAGAGTCTTTTCTAGCAGTTTCAGAAATCTTTTCTGACACTACAGGATTTTGCTGAAGAACTGATGTTTTCTTATGTATAGATAGTTTTGGTTGAACAACTGAGTCTCTTTTAGGCAAAGTACAATCTTTAGCAGACGTAGACTCTGACTTCGCAGAGGAATTCTTACAGCTTTCTACAATAATATGGATATCAAAAGTATGAGTATCTCCAAACAATAGTAATAATAATAATGATAATAGTTATACTAATAACAGTTATAATACTAATAATCTAAATACAATTTTGTAATGGTAAGTTTACATATTATGCTGAAGTTAAAATCAGAGCTGCTAAAATTGTTTTTTTCTTGTTATATTATTTATAATTTTAGTTATAATTTTTAACTAATATTAAATAAATAACTAAGTCAAACTTCCACTATAATAAAATTATAACTATAGCTAATCATAAATAAACAAAATTTTAAATTTGTATTAATAACTCTTTGAAGTAGGCAAATTAGTTGTCCTCATAATCTAAAATTCATCTCTTTCATAACTAATAATAAAAAACAAATAGAACTCCTTGCAGTGGCTGCAAATATATTTGAAGTTTTATTTTTATATGAAATACACAATTCCTATATTAAAATAATTATATGTGAGGTTGAATTTTGAATATTTTATTAACTGTATATCCTTTACTTGAACAAATAATAAATAATTAACATAAAAACATAAGTTATGTATTTATCTATCTACATATATATATATGTATATATATGTATATATATGTGTATATATATATATATATATATATATATATATATATATATATATATATATATATATATATATATATATATATATATATATATATATATATATATATATATATATATATATATAATCTATACTACTATAGCATAGTATAGTATAGCAATCTATAATACTATCATAGTATACTACTAGCATAATATAGTATAGCAATCTATAATACTATAGCATATTTATATGCGCACTTGATCACTTTTTTTCTTATCTAAATCGATATAGGTTTTTTATAAAATGAAGAGGGAAAATGAAGAATAATGAATGAAAAGGTTTATTCTTTGTTTATTTATCAGCCGATGTATGTACTGAAGCCCCTGGCAGCAGGCTATTTCAGTATGACATCACACCTCCCACCTAAATCAGCAGTATAAGATTTATATGTATATATATATATATATATTTAAAAATAACAGTTTTTTATTCTTGACATGTTTTGCAAAATTTATTTACATTTTCAAAAGATTATTTTACAAAAAAAAAACTCTAAAATAAAAATTAAAAATAGAAGTCTTTACAGAGAAATATTAACAGACAAAAATTATACATAATAAACCAATTTGACTGGTTAAACCTGAAAACCTTATCAGTTGCTCCAGAAAATCATATACGGAAAATTCGAGAATCCCTAGAAATAAACAAAGCTAAAGTTAGACAAGAGTTGGAAAGTGGCGAAAATGTTCTTAATAGGGATGATGGTGATAACGTCACAACAAAAGCTTGGGGGTTATTTTTTATTAAATTAGCTGATGTCAACATTTAATCCTATTTTGTATTTGCTCATACTCTTTTTTTATGTTATCATTTTAACGGTTTGTTTTTATTATAACGATTATCTTTGTAACGATTTTTATTTATTATACCTGATGACTAGGTAAGTTTATAGCATAATGTAAAGTTTTTTTATTAAGTGAGGGACTTTCCTATATAATGTTGAGGGCTTCTTTTATCTTTAATTTGTGTTTGGTTGGGGCATTATCCAAAATCTCAAAAGAACCACAGTTAGCCAAATCTTTGCAATTAATAGATAAATTTAAATGTTTAAATATATGAGATTGTTTATCACTTTTAAGGTGCTCATTTATTCTAGTTGCTAAATGTCTGGACGTTTCTCCAATATAACTAGCATTACAGCCAGCGCAAGATAATTTATAGAGATTTAACCTTGTATTTTATTAGTACGAAAATTCATTTTATTAGAACATCCTTGCAATATTTATGAACAATTTTTGAAATTTTCATTTTAGTATAATTAGAGTACATTTCAATGTATGGATGCTTAAAGTATCTTATATTTAAGCTATTAACAATGTTAGAAACAGATGGGTCCATTTTCTTATCAATATAGGATTTAATTTCAGAGTCAATAATTTTTTGTGGAAATTTATTATTTTGTAAAACTAATGATAGATTCTTAACATCTTTATCAAAACCAACCCAAGTATTATTAATTTAAATGTACGATCAATCAAACAACGAACAAGTCCAAATTTGTAGCAAGAGGGAATAAAACTAAAAATTTTTTGTAAAAGACCTGTCAGTGGCGGATTAAGAATTCCTGGGGTCCAGGGCTATTTTTGTTTTTGGAGGCCTTTTAATGGGTCAGAGCATAAAAATGACTTGAAAAAAAAAAAAAAAAAAAGGTCCTCTAAAATTTTTGGGGTCCCCTAAATTTGCGGGGCCCGGGGCTATAAGTCTACCCTAGCCCCCCCTCCTTGATCCAGCACTGAGATCTGTATATGTTTTTTTTGTTATAAACTGAAGTCAAAAACGAATTGGATTTTTTAATAAGTACATCTAAAAAGGCAATCTGGTTATCTTGTTCTTTTTCCATAATAAATTTCAAATTTTATGTTGTTTATTAAGGTGTTTGAAAATTCTTGAACTTCATATTCAGAATTAAAAATAACAATTATGTTATCCACATACCCTTTATAAAAAAAACAGTGCTGTAAAGGAACAGTCATTGACCCATGTTTGTACATGAAATGCGACAAAAATATTAGCTAAGATGGATGCTAAAGGAGAAACCATTCCAACACCATCTGTTTGATCGTAATATTTTCCGTCAAATAGAAAATGTGAACCGGATGTGGAAATCTGAAGTAATTTTTAAAGTATATTTTTGAAAAATATTTTGAGTTAGTTTTTCCTTGTACTCGGTTGAATGTACTCTAATTATACTAAAATGAAAATTTCAAAAATTGTTTATAAATATTGCAAGGATGTTCTAGCAAAATTAATTTTCACTATTAATAAAATACAAGATTGTTTTTGCTTAAAAGAGTCACTTCCTAAACTGCTTAAATCTCATGTTGACTATAAATTTTTTTTTGTGCTGGCTTTAATGCCAGTTATATTGGAAAAACCTCCAGACATTTAGCAACTAGAATAAATGAGCAAGTTAAAAGTGATAAAAAATCTCATATATTTAAACACTAAAATTTATCAATTAATTGCAAAAATTTGGCTAACTGTGAATCTTTTGAGATTTTGGATAATGCCCTAACCAAACACAAATTAAAGATAAAAGAAGCCCTCCACATTAAATGGGTAAATCCCTCACTTAATAAACAAACTTTACATTATGCTATAAACTTATCTATTTAATTTTAATGTCATTTTATTTATTTTTTTACAGTTGGTTATTTTGATTGGTTATTTACCAAGAGTTGTTTTGTAATAAATATATTGGTTTATTGTGTATAATTTTTGTCTGTTAATATTTCCTTGTAAAGACTTCTATTTTTTAATATTTTTTATTTAAAAAAAATCTTTTTACAACTAAAAGTTTTTTTAAAAAGAGTTTATTTAAAATTATTATGATAAAACATTCTATTGATTTGCTTTTTTGTGGTTTTTAAAAAACGATAAAATTGAATTAGTTTTCTCAATTAAATCTAATGTTTTTTATATAAAGTGTACTTGACTTTGTCTTCTTTAAACAAATCAAATCAAATCAAATCAAATCAATATATATATATATATATATATATATATATATATATATATATATATATATATATATATATATATATATATATATATATATATATATATATATATATATATATATATACAGTTTTATAATTGTTTTTGAATGTCACGATGTTTATTAAGAGTATATATACTTTTTTTTTAACAAAAAATACTATGTATTTTTTACCTGATGATTGCAGAACGCATGAAAAATAACTACATAATTTTTACTTTAGAAGTATATAGCTCTGATATCATTCAGCGAGCACTTTTGCTGAATATATGCAAACAACAAAATTATAAATATATATATATATATATATACATATATATATATATATATATATATATATATATATATATATATATATATATATATATATATATATATATATATATATATATATATATATATATATGTATATATATATATATATATATATAACTTTTGATTTGATTTATTTGATATCAAGCATCTTGATTGTTGAAAAAATAGGTATAATATTTCTTGGAAGAAGGTGATGAGAGATGTGGAAAAAGTATTCCTTGCACTTCTGAAACGATCATGCCATTGCAGGAAATAACTTTTCTTACAATTTTGCCAAGGTTTAAACTTGATGAAATTTATAATCCAGATGAATTTGAGCTACCTTTTTGTATGCAACCTAATAAGTCCCTAATATTTGATCTGAGAAAAGTATATTAAAATCACCTCAGTGCTTCAAAAGAGTAAAACACTAGCCTAGAAGATACAGAAACCAAAATAAAAACTGGATTGATAGTATGCTGTTTGAAAAGTAGATACAGGATATGGATATAAAGTTTACAAAAACAAGAAAGTAGCGTTTATCATAGTTAACTGCTCAGCACATCGGACAATTGATATTCTAAAATCTATAGAGCTCATTTTTTTACCACTGTTTACCAAATCTAAATATCCCACTGGATAGAAATCTGCCCTGTGACACGAAGGCAACAACCCTTTTAAAGATCAGGTAAAACAACTGAAGATGTGTTTTCTGTATACAAAAACTTATTGAGTAGAGTACCCGTTACTAACAGATGACCAGTTGATAAAAGTAACAAATGCATTAAATAAAAATCATGGTGATTAAGAGGAAGATAGTGATGATAGTACTATAAACAGACCTATATATATATATATATATATATATATATATATATATATATATATATATATATATATATATATATATATATATATATATATATATATATATATATATATATATACATATAGAGAGAGTGAGAGAGAATATATATATATACAACCCTCAGAATTAGGAAAAAATGAAGTCAGCAATAATTTGCCGACCTCAATTTTTTAGAGGTTTGCATCAGGTCAGCAAAAAAAATTTGATACAAAGGTCTTACCATAAAACATAGAAACAAGGCTTAATTCTGAGGGCTGTATATGTATATGTGTATATATCAGGGTTGGCAAAAACCCGGGTTTTTTTTAAAAAAACCCAGCCCAGTGGGTTTTTTTGGGTAATTTTGGGTTTTATTGGGTAAATTTGGGTTTTTTTGGGTTTTATTTTTATTTCGTCTCTAAAAAATATATTTATCTTTTTACTTTGGTTGGACCAAAAAAAACAAAAAAAAAAGAAAAGTTTGCTATTTTTTTAATATTGACTTTATTAAAGAACACACTTAGGCAGGGTGGCCATACTTTTATTTAAAAAATTAGAAGAATTTTGGAGATTTAAGGATATTTTCAAAGATTTTTTATTAGATTTTACAGGGAAAGTTGAAAAAACAAATAAAAAAAATTAAGATTATAAAGGACAATTTTAAATTTTTTTTTACAAAATTTTAATATTATTTAAAAACTTTAATAAAAAATTTGAAAGTTTAAATTCAATCTTTAAAAAAAAACTTGAAGTTTAAAAACCAAGTTTAAATTAGGAGATTTTAGAAGTATTTTTGAAATTCAAGTATATTTTAGGAGGATTTAGGTCTTTTTAGGAGATTTTTTAAATATTAGGATATTTTAAGATATATTAGGAGGCGTGGCCACCCTGCTAGGTCTTATCCAAAAAAAATTTTATTCATAAATCTCACAAATGCTTTTATGATTATTCTTTAAAGAAATTTATTAATAATTTTAAATAACAAAAAAAAAAAAAAAAAAAAAAAAAAAACTAAAATAATAAGCTTTATTTGCTGTTTAGCAACTCCCTAAAGAGTGTTAAAATTTCAACACAAATCAAATGTTACGCCTACCCTCAAAAAAGAAAACAAAGTCAAGACTTAAAACTACAAGCTAGTGCCTCTTACCTGTACCATGCAAGGTGACGGAGAGAACTATCATAGATTGGATTATAAAACACTAGGCACAATTTAATATCAAAATTTCAACATGGATTTGTACATTATAAAGATTGTTAACAAACCTGATTGAATCCTGTAACATTTTAATGGAAGCAGTTTACCGTAGACACCTAGTTGACATAATTACTATTAGTAATAATTATTATTAAATAATTTTGCAAAAGCATTCAACAAAGTGTCACACAATGACTTCTTTACAAGGCTAGTGTCTATGACATTTGAGCCCAGCTAAACTGGATCTTTAGTTGGGTAGCTAATGGAAAATGAGTAACAATTGAAAAATTATTGTCAGAGTTGAAAAGGGTGACAAGTAGCATCCCTCAAGGACCAGTTCTTGCATCACTGCTAAGTGTGCTCTTTATCAAGGACTTACCAGACTGCATTTATGATCTCACCATAATATACGCCAATGATGCCAAGATCATATGAGTTAATGATGTCAATGAATTTTTCTCTGACTATAAAAAACTGCAAGCAGACACCAACAGGGCTGTAAATTGGTCCCACAACTGTCTTGTGAATTTCATTGTCAAGAAGTGCAAAATAATGCAAGTTGGTTATCGCAAAAACTAATTAATAATACTATAGTTGACATTGACAGTAACAGATGTAATCTAGTTCCAACATGCATTGAGCATGACCTTGGAGTACTAATATCTAATAACCTCAAAGTACAAGTAGAAGCAGCAATTGGGTTGGCAATCGAATACTTGTTTGTCTCAAGAAGTCATTTCAGCGTCAGAACTTTCTAGCTATGGAAAAAAATGTACCATCTGTACATAAAACTGCACCTGGAGTTTTGAATTTGTATATTCTCTACTCAAACATGTCCTATAATGTGCAATATTGTTAATTAAAATTTTTAGTTGCAATCAAAAACTTAAAATACTTAGCTTAACCACTTGACCGCCACCTAATTTTGGTGCGCATTAGCTCCAGCATTAGGTTAGTTTTTAATAATAGATAAAGTGAACAAAAATAGTCAAAAATATTTGTAAATTATATCAAAAGTATAATTAAATCCATAATAAACTAAATGGATCTTACTACAATATTAAAATAATATTTCAATACAGTATGATATTTCTTAACGCAAAGTGCAACATAATCTAACATCATGTTTTTTTTAATAAACTACAGTTTATTAGCACAGCTAAGTACATTTGAATGCTATTAGTTGTGTCTTCCGATTTGGAAAAACGGGTCTTAGAGATTAAATTACCTATATTGCTATGATCTGCATATTTATTTGTCATTTTTATTATCATATTTACAAGTTCATTAGTGAATAAGAGTTTAAAAACCTCCAACGTGTTATCTAGTGTTACAAACTTATGGACAACTGGATTACTATAAAAGATTTGCCTGCACATACCTTATACAGGCTTACTTTTTTTCCAACATAAATTATTAATAAATATATATTTTTTGTAGCCATTTGCTATCTTTTACTAGTTAGAACAATGAAAGAAGACTGGGTAACAACACTTTCATTAATTTCAGCAATTGGCTTGTTTTATAACATCATTGCTGTCCTCTTTAGTGGATATTTGTGCCATCTATCACATCATTTAAACCACTATCACTAAAATCTGAAATTTCATTGTTACTTTCAAACATAAAATTAACAATATCTTCTGTTGAGTTCAGTTTTGCATCACTAGCTTTTTTTGTTACAACTTGCCTTTTTAAAACAGTTTTTACTAATATTCAAATTAAATCAGTTACACTTTTTGAAAGATAGCCATTATGAGCTTAAAATTTCCGTAGAAGAATGTTCTAGAATATATGATTGGTTTCACTGCTCATGGTTTGGTATTGTAGGTGTCACACCTCTCCTAACAAACATTTGTGCTTATATACATCACCACTGTTTTTCTAAAGTTTTGGCTTGCATACATATACACTATCAATATTTAAGGGGTTAACTACACTCAAAGAACACAGTGACCTTATACTGCAACACAAAATAGCTTATCATTTACAATTAAAATTAAGACTGTGAAAACTGCTTCTTTAAGATTCTCATTCTTCTGGTTGAAAGATCAAGAACCGGTAAAAATTAAAGCTTGTGAAATGAAAGACAACTTTATGGAAGATATTATCCATCTTAATAGTTTGAAAGAGTTTTCATGATTACGTGCGCACCTAAACACTGCCACGCCCCAGGTATCATAAAAGCTATCAGCAGCCTTACTACTAAAAAAAAAGGTCATTGTACTTTGGGAATGTTAAACCCATTGGGAATTCTGTGGCATACATGGTGCCATTGGGCAGGCTGACACACTGGCTATGCAGTAGCTTTGAGTAGGCTATGAAGTAGTTATAAAACAAGTTAGGTTGTAGCAAGTTTTATATTAGTTATATAGTGGCTGGATAGCCCCCTGGGTATATAGTATGGGCTATTTAAAAGCTATGTAGCGGGCAATATAGTAGCCATATAGCAGGCTATGTAAAATATATGTTCTAGAAATATGCAAGACTAATAACAGAAAAAAGGAGTGGATAAAATGACATGCGAGATAATCAATGAATAAAATAACACAACTTTTAACGAGGTATGATCAAAAGAATGATAAAATAAAAAATAATATTAAAAAAAAAAAAAGATATATTTAAGTATTAAGATGAAACAATAATATGAAATTACTTAAATAACAGCAATAAAATGTAAAAAGCAAAAACACTAAATATAATTAACAAAACATATATAAACAATACACAAAAATACACGACAACATAAATGATACACAAAAATACACAATAGTATAAACAATAGACAAAATTACACAATATAAAAAAATAAACGGAAATACATGCCATTATAACTATTCTACAAAAATACACAACAGTATAAACAATGCAAACAACATATATTTAAAAAATCATCCTAAAAAACTGTTCTTTTTGTTTTTTTTTATTAACGCATTGTAGTTTTCTATTTTCAAATTTATTGGGAAAATTTTTTATATTAAATTTGCTTTTAGTTGTTTTTTTACTTTTTTCTTCAATTTTTTACTTGTAACCTTTAATATTTTCCTTCGCTTCAATTTTTTTCCTAAAAAATTTTCTTTATTTTCCTTTTCTTTAAATATCCTCAAGAAATTTTTCTCATATTATTAAAAGAGCTGTTGCTTTTAATTGAAAATAAATATCTTACCTCCTTCACGCAATGCTAGTCGATTTTTAAAATAATCAGCAGAAAATTTTAAAATGTCACTAGGCTGCTCTCGTAAAACTTCTCTTGCTAACCCTTCCAACAATGCTTGAAAACCTTCAGGTATTTTTAATCTTGTTGGAGCGTATTGAACAGACATAATCGTAATTTCACCAGGTTAATACACAATTTATTTTCTGCTAATAGTGATTACGTGTGTGTATATGTAATTGTGTATGTATAAAATGTGAGAGAGCTCTAGTTTCTTGGACTTGAAACTTCCGAGCGCTTGATTAGTAACGGAACAATTCGGCTGTTTACATGATTTTTGAATATTTAATGTATTTCCATAGCAACATCCGTGGTTCACCTATTAAGACAAAAAAAATGTAATTTGCTAAAATTATTTTTACAATATTTCTTAAATTGATTTTTTTTTATTTTTATTATTAATTAGCTATTTAATAAAATCAGTAAAACTGTAAAAAAATCAATAAAAAAAAACTAAAGAAAAAATTTATGAAATTTTTTTTTTGCAAAGCCTTTTTCTAAGATGTGTATCCACGCCTCAAACGAAGAAATAAGTTTTCAATCAAAATCCTATCAATCAAAACTTGATTGACAGGAATTATATTTTGCTTTTAACGATTGATTTAAAAATAAAGAGCCATTATATAATAAACTATTCGTATACTTTTGACGATTTTTTAACTGAGTTACCTCCCAATGAAAACTTATTCTTGTGTAGACAAAGATACTTTTATAGTTTTAAACGTTGATGTTTTAACATCATACATAACATATGTATAGAATGTATATAACAGGATTGCCAGGTTTTTTTTCGGGCACAAGCCAAAAATGAAACAAAAATAAACTAGAAATAAACCAGACCATAAAAAAAAAAAAAAAAAAAAATCATAATTTTTCGTTTTAAAGCCATGTTTTTAATTTATATTTTGAAAAAACTGCTATTTTATCCAAAAATTCATCCTTGAATATTAAAATTTAATTTGTAAGAGAGTGAGGGAGGAGGAGAAGAACGACTTAGTGAATGTTTAATTGGGTGTCAGACCAGCCTTTAAAGTGGCCTGCGTAATTTAGTTCAATCCCAAACACCTATACTAAATCCAACACTATCAACCTGTAAAATATATATATATATATTTTTTTGCTTGCATATGGATATAGATTTTTTTTACAACATCTGCGATAATTGACTCAATTATTTCAAAGTCCTGGTAAAAAATATTTTGCCTTATTAAATATGATTTGACCCAAATGACTGCATGCAAGACTTAATTTGATATTTTCTTAGTCTGATTTTTATGCAGATGACCTGTGAGAAGACTCAACAAAATAGTTAGAAACGGGACACATAGACAGCCGTGGCAGTAAATATTTATATTGCAGAAGTCTAGGTCTCCGGAAACATCTAAATGGTCTCACGATGCAGTTTAGAATTTAGCGGTGTTTTTAGAAACTCATTTTTTAAATATATTTTTTTAATATATTTTTTTTTTATGCTTTAAATATATAATTTTTTTGCGCTTTAAATATATAATTTTTAGACTCGCTCTAATGATGCAATATTAACTAATTTATGATTAATGACGATTTCTGTAATGATTTTCAATTTCTCCACCTTTTGCATCCTTAAAATATAACTGTAGACTTGAAACGGCCTTTTCAGCTTGGAAAACAACATTCAATACAGGCAGATTTTTCTAGAAAAATTTCATTTTGAATGTAAGAATTTTCTAACATTTTTGGCAATTAAGGGATAAAAACAACATTTGAATGACATTACAAGTAAAAGTTTTTAACGTTTTAAGATTTTAACGTAAGCATTTCTTACATTTATCTCAAACTTGATTGTTCTTCTATAAAATGAAAAAAATGGAAATCTTTCTTTCCCTCAAATTAACGTTTTTCATGAAATCAAAACTTGATTAAACTGATTTATTATTAAATAAGCCAGAATTAAACTAGATTTTGAAAAACACACCAGAACAAACAAAAAAAGACCAAAGACTTTAAAATAAATCAGATTTAAGCCAGATTTACTAAAATTAACCAAAACAAAAATTCCAAGCCAAACGATAAAAAAAAAAAAACATATTTGAGAAATCTGGCTTAAAAAAACACCAGATGGCAACCCTGGTATATAAATATGCATACGCGTTCCCGTACGCATATTTAAAAACCCAATACATACACTGAATAAGTTCATTAACTCAATGCTTTTCAAGAACTTGCTGTCAGTCGGTTGTTTATTTAAATGGTCGAGATATTTCCATAAAAAATCTTGTCTGCCAAATAAACAATTAGATTGAATAAAAGAAAATCATCAAAAATCCTACTACGGACTACAAACAAAATGTAATATGCTTATTAAAATTTTATGTTATATAATTTAACATACATTTACAGTATATAACCCAGCCGCCGAAAGCTGTCACGCCGCCTGATACAGCAATCCTGATTGGCGCCTTTAATTATCAAATTTTCCCTAAATTATATATGAAGGACCTTTTTTTTTTTAGGTACCTACATTTCATTTGGCACCCCTTGGATATCTGCCGCCCGGGACAAACTGTTCCGGTGCCCCCCTCTCGGCGGCCCTGCGTCTATACAACGTCTATATGACGTCACATGTCGGAAGAACGTCCTTAAGACGCCCAGCAGACGTTCTGTATAATCCTATCTTTAGCTTTAATTTCAGACCTGTAAAATCTAAGTTTCTTAAATTTTATTTTTACGTAAGGACTTTGCTCGTTTCTAGAATTATTTTAACTATTACAAAAATATTCAGACAAAAAAATATTCCTCCAGGAAATAGAATAAAAAGAGCTTCTACTACCAGCATATAACTTTTTTGTTTACTGTTACTTATTTAGTGGAGAACATTATACCTTTGAGAGAAAAAAATAAGTTTTATAGGAAATTTACAGATTTAAACACTAAAAGTTTGATCCAAAATAATATCCAAATTGAGGACGTTTTTTAAATTTATTTTAAACAATTTGAACCAAACCAACTGTGCAAAATCCTTAAGAAGTTCAAAAAATCCTATAGAAGTTCAAAAAATCTTAAAGAAGTTCAAAAAGAGACTTCATAAAAGTCTTAAAATCTGTATGTATATAAATTTTTTTTAAACACAAGAAGATGTAATTTTTTTTTTTTTTTTTTTGTTCTTATTACGAAAGAAAAATTATAAAGAAATTATAAAGAAAAATTAATTAATTTACAATTAGATCTTTAGGAAAAATTTACAATTAGATCGTTAAGAAAAATTTACAATTAGATTGTTAAAAACGTTACTCAATAAATAATAAATAAATAATAAAACTAAGACTTTTTTGTTAATTTAAAAAGAATGCGGAGACTCGCAGAAGACCATTAGGTCTTGTCACCAAGAACCGCTCGTAAATTAAAACTTCATAAAATTCAATAAAGTCAAGTGCATATATAGTTAATCACATTTAAGTGCACGTTCATGTTGCATGTTTAATCGTATTAAACCAAAATAAATTTTCATTTATTTCATTTTATTTAAAAACTAAGTTCTAGATTTTTAAAGATTTTTTATAAAAAAATTTGATTTAAGTTTTACAAATTCACCTTTAACTACATTGAGTATTTGCAATTTTATAAAATGATTTTTGAAAAAGAGGCGTGGGTGCGTTTGTTTAAAATTGCAATAAAAAATTAAAACAAGCAGATTTTCAAATTAACTATTAGACAAGCAATGAGCTTTAATTGATAGAAGCTAAAAAAATTTCGGTAAAAAATAATATAGATTTATTCTTTTTAGTTTTTTGAGAATACAAAACAGTCATTTACACAACCCATGTGAATCTATATACTCTAAAGAAATTTTGTTTCGCAACTTAAGTTTTAACAAAGCCGATCCTTAAAATGGCAAACTAGTACTATAAAAATAAAAAATAAAATTAACCAACCTAAAAGTAAAATATGGCATCATCATGGCATTACATTGTTTTTCTAAAATAAAAAAAAAAAATCAATTTCAAGAAAAGCTTTACAAACTATAGTTAGTAAAATAAGTTTTACTTAGATTCAGATAAAATTTATTAATGGAACTTTACAATAAAAAAAGGACACATCTCTATTAACTAACAAAGCTAAACCTCCCTCCCTATTAGCTAACTAATCAAAGTGTTTTTTTTTTGATAATTGCAATTAAATTGCGTGCTGTTCTTACTGTTTATTGCGATTACAGTAGACTCTCATTAAACTCTTAATCTATTGAATTTATCGATTACTTATCAGAAGTTTCTGCTCATTCGAAGCAATTTTTATTTCCGGTGGATTTTTCTTAACAAATTCATGAAATCCTTCAGTTATTAGAAATTGTAGTTTCTTAAAAGTTTTTGTTTATTTAAAATAGTTAACTGGCATAAGTACAAAACGGTTGCAAAAACTGATATAATTGTAAACTGTCATAAGTGCGAATTGGTATAAGTGCGCCAAAAGGAAAACACTCACATAAGTGTAAACTTGTATTTGTGCGAACCTTCATAATTTGGAAAAACTAACAGATGCAAAGTAGAATAAGTGCGCTAAAAGAATTTGCAAACATGGGTGCGAACCGACATAAGTACTAATCTTTTGTCGCGAATCTTTCGGCGCACTTAAGCAAGTTTTTGTAAATTCTTCGGGCACATGTATACCGAATTGCACTTATGTCAATTTTTACAATTTCTTTGTATTTATGAAACTTGCTATAGTTTCCTCACAATCAAGTGGGCTCTGATAAGTTTTTTGACCTAGCTTTTTTGCATTTCTTGACAAGAACATCATCGTTATTTTGGCATTTCCATTATATATATATATATATATATATATATATATATATATATATATATATATATATATATATATATATATATATATATATATATATATATATATATATATATATATATATATATATATATATATATACATATATATATATATATATATATATATATATATATATATATATATATATATATATATATATATCCATACATAGGCGTAGAGTACTCAAATTTTCAAGGGAGGCACAAAGTTAAAGATGCAATTTTTTTTGAGAAATATCTATCTACTGTCCAGTGTTTATTTTTTTTTTTGAAAAAATATTAACTTTGATTTTGGTTAACTAGCATCAAGAAATTAAAGAAAAATAAGTTTAGTTGGAATTTTTACTTGGTTTCCAAAAAAAACATTCTACAACGCGTATCGTTTTTTTAAAAAAAAATATATCTAACATAAAATCCATTCCAAGACTTCGGGCAATTTCTTTAAGGGTATTCATTACAAATTCTTTATGGGTATTCATTGCAGCCTTTCCTGGCTCATGGTCAATTAAAGAAACGTTTTTAGTCTACAGAGACTACTAAATAACTATTCTGCTGTACAAGTTGATAATGGCTAGACCAGAATTATTTTAATAAAAAGGACAATTTCCGAGGCAATTCTTTTCGATCCAATTTATTCTTTAGCGCGGATGAAATCTAGAACTGATTGGAAATCTTCCAATTGAACTTTTTTTCTGTTAGGTTCGTCAATGAAATGATCCCGGTGAAGTTGCAGTCTTTGATAATTAGGAAAATTATTCTTTTAGAAATTTTTTATGTAGTTAATTTCAGTGTTATTTGATCCAATCACAAACTCTTCAATCCTTGTTAAATAGCGAGTGGTTTCAGTTGATTCAAATCTATCGGTGAGGCCAACTAAAACTGCATCTAAACCGATAAAGTGTAACTGCTTATAGATCTTATTTGGATCCTTTGGCTGATAATAAGTATCCTTCAAATCTTACAGGTATAAACCCATCATTTTCAAATCTTAAAGGTATAAACCCATCATTTTAGCAGATTCAGTTGCCGCATCAAAAAGTGTTTTGAAACGTGAGTACGCAAAAAATTTCAAAACTTGTTTCAGGGTCTAAATGATGGATGCAGCCCATAACTTCCCTGAAGTTGAATGCTTGAACCTTCTAGAAAAGATTCAAATAAATTCCAATTTATAAAAGGTGTCAAAAACCTGAAAAGAAGACAAAAAGGTCATTGCTTCCATTCGCCATTTGGTAAAGTCAGGGTTAGTGGTAAGGTCTTCCAGTCAAACATGAAGTTTTCTGTAGAAAACTTCTGTAAGAAGTCATCTGCAGTTATTAGTAATAGATATTAGAGATAACTTGCGCATTATCCATCTGGTTGGTCAAAGAAGTTTAAATGATGTTCCAATTTGGTGTCGGTTTTTGCTTTCATTTTGGTCGTTTAGGCTTGAAAACCAAGCAAGCCTCATTAGTGAGCCTCTCGTAAAAGCTATGAACTTTTGAACGATATTTTGACATGATACTTTCTATATCGTAAAAATTACTTTAAAGCACTAGTATACAGCGTAAAACAAAACTTAAATTGAGATCAAAAGACAATCTAAAGTTTTATTTTATTGAAAAAACGTATTTTATATGAAAAAATTAAACTAATTTTTCAAGTTTCTTAAAAATCTTAAAAACAATTTTTTTGGGTATGTTTATAGCAAAGAATGATTTCTTTTTTCGCTTTTTAATTGATTTCTTTCTCTAATTTCTTCCTTGTTTAAAAATAAAAAATTGAAATAATATTTGTTATAAGATTAGATAAAATTTCAATGGGGGCAAACGAATTTTCAATGGGGGGGGGGGGGGGGAAGGTTAACTCAAGGGGAGCAGTCTGCCCCCGTTGCACTCCATACTCTACGCCTATGTGTGTGTGTATATATATATATATATATATATATATATATATATATATATATATATATATATATATATATATATATATATATATATATATATATATATATATATATATATATATATATATATATATATATATATATATATATATATATAATTTTATTACTTTTTTTGTTTCTTAGCATCTTAAAATCGTCTTTTTTTTTAATGCTGTTTCTTATATATTGCGGATAATTATAAGTGTTACTATTGGGGCTTTGTGATAATGCTAATTTATGCCTTCTTCTTGCTCCAGCCAATTGTACTTTTTTATGATATTGTACATTGTAAACATTTTTAACTCACTAATATATATATATATATATATATATATATATATATATATATATATATATATATATATATATATATATATGTATATATATATATATATATATATATATATATATATATATATATATATATATATATATATATATATATATATTCGTTTTGTTAACAACTTTTGTTGCTAACAAAATAAAGATTTGGGCCAACCTTTAAAAAAGGTAAATCGAATTATTATTATTCTATACACAGCATAGTCAAGTTTCGTCATGAAAACTTTTCCGTGGTTTAAAATTTTCTTAAATTGCTAATAACTCTAAAAAATTTTAAACAATTTTTTAGAGTTACTTGTTGTTTTGACTTTTTAACTTTTGCTTTAAAATCAGCCTATTCTGTGTCTGTATATAGTTTCCTGAGCTGGGTGTTAGCACGGCTTTATTGGCACCTCTGCATCTCCGCAACATGCGGACTATCCATTTGTTAGAGGACTAGCGAAAGTTTACTCTCTTTAAATATGGTAGCGGACTGATGTTGCTTTCAAAAAAAATTAGTAGCCATCCAGTTAATTTTTTCAATGATATATCCCGGGCATTATGAAGTCCCTGTGTGCCCCTGCTTACAAATCATATCTGCCTATAAATCCAAAAATCTGAATCAACGTGAACTATAAACGGTACTTATTTTACAAGATAAAATTTTACAAAACGTAGATAAATCGTATCACATTCATTAAAAAAACAGACAGAAAAAAAAAAATTTCATTGGTGATTACACAAATAAATAGAATGACTAATTTTGTGATAAAAAATAACTAATTTTGTGATAAAAAATAACTTATCTTACTTGAAACAGCCTCTAAATGTTGTTTATTTTCGGCCGCATAAAAATAAAGTGGAAAACTGTTTTAATTTTGTGGAAAGAATTCCCTGCATTTTATAGATTGTAATTTTACTAGGAGTGAATGGGACACCATGATACATAGGGCACCATGAGATATGGGGCACCATGAAACATAATTGTTGTGAAGGCATCTTTAGAGTTGTGACAACCAGTTTTATATGATGAAACAGTTACTATTAGAGTTATGTTTTGACAAAAAGTTATGACATTTGATATCATTAGGCCTGCGAGGGGTTGAATTTTGTGCTTTTTTGATGATAAAGTAATTTATTAGTTTTTAGAGTTACTAAGTTTTAAAGGATATTATTCAATGTCACTATCAGTAAGTAACATTATTTTGTAAAACTGCAGTCCATAAACTCTTTACTTCGTAAACAAAACTATTGAAAAAACAAGTTGATTCTAAAAATAAAGCGTTTATTTTCTATTAGCAAGTATGGGATAACTTGATACAGCTTTTGTGGGAGCCTTAAAACCGGAGAATAGTACTCCAATGTGTCATTAACAATCCTAAGTATTTTTTTTATATTTACAGTCAACTTTTAAATATATTGAAATCCAATTTTGATTCAAAGCCATTATTTATTGACACTTAAGAATGATATTCAAAACGATCATTTTAATGTATCCACTGTTACGAGCATATATGAGTTTTAAATACATGGATATCTGTATTACAAAGTTTAATATTAGTAAACTGAACACTTTTCACTTTCATAAATTTAATAAAAACATAACCACTTAAGCGCAAGTGCAATCCAACCATATTGTATGAAAATGTTAACCCTTTAGAGCCCATCTAAGCTTAATTTAAACTACATGTTACAAGACCAAGCAAAGCCAAGCCAAGCCAAGTGGCCTTGTCCTTGGCCTAGTAAAAAAGTTACTAGGCCAAGGACAAGGCCAAGAGTTTTAAGGTCAAGACAAGAATAAGAGTTTCAAGACTAAAGCCTATGCAAACATTTTCAAGACCAAAAACTTAAATTTTTGCTTTACGTAAAGACCAATTATTAACAAAATTGTAGGCAACAATTACTATGACAATAAAACCATGTATAAAAACAAACCAAGGCTATGCGCAGAGTTTAACGAAGACAATAAGAAAATACACTTATGAATATATATGAAAGCCGAAAGTAAAAATATATTTTAAAATAAAGAATAAAAACTTTTAACTTTTTAACTTTATGTTTTTTTTTTGAAGATCAAGGCCAAAACAAGGCCAAGGCCAAAGTTTTTAAGACCAAGACCTTGGCCAAGGCCAACAGTTTCAAGGCTTAGACCTTAATTTTTGGCCCTAAGGCAAGTTCGACCCTTACAAAAATACTCCATGGAAAACCCATGGAATTCCATGAGTAAACCATGGTTTTCCTATAAAAAACTGGAATTTCCAGGGTGAATTTTATGAAAATTGAAATCCCATGGAATTTCCATGATTTTTTTTTATGCTGCTTTTCTTTATGGTTGTTACGAATGCGCTTTTAAAGATGGCGTCATAGCTCGTACAATTACGATTACTTTTAACTTGAGTAAACAATACCGCATTCTTCTGTTTTTCTGTGTTTATAAGACTACAAGTGATATGTTTGTTATAATGCATCACATTTATATGATTCAAACTAAACATACAGACATAAGCGACTAGATATATTTATCATATTATAATGCATTATAAAATGGATTATTTTTAATTATATTTAATTTTATATCATTTACGCATATACTTATTTTAACTGTTTCCAGTAGCTTTGCATAACTTGCAATAGTATAGCAAGTATGTCAAGTAAACCAGTTTAAATTTTAATGCTTACTTGGCAAATTATTTGCCAAATAATTATTATTTGGTTTACAACAAATAAACGTTTAGTTTTAATCTACATTAAATAACAAGTGTATTAATGTACATAGTGTAATCTAATGTACATTAAAACTTATATAATTATTATTATAAAACTTATATAACATATTAAACAAACTTATCTAAAATATTAATATACAAGCAGTATATCAGATAAGATTAGATAACTAAGATAAGATAAGATAATAAGATTAGATAACTAATGTACAAAAGATAACTAATATAATTTTTTTTATTTTTTTTTTTATAATATCCTCAGATTACATAGAAATGCTTGAAGTTAATTGTATGGTAAATGTTCATTAAGTATTAAAAAACGTTTTTTTTATGATAAATGTTCTATTCAGTTTTAGTTCTGTTAATAGGTACGTGGAAATATCCGTTTTACGGAACCGAATTATGTGCTAAAAAACTGTGCCACGCTTTTTAGATTTTTTTTTAACTAGCGTTGGGAAGACGTGTTTAGTTAAAAAACTTTTTAGAATTTGATATCAATATAGATTATTTTTAGAAACTAGAATAGTTAATCTTTATTACTGTGAGCTTCATTATTTTACTGGATGGCTTTTTTATTGAGTTTTTTGATGTCTAAAACTTTGTTGTACTTTGGGCATGAAATTAATGTCGAAGGTATGCTCTTTTTTTTTTCTATACTATTCTTTTTTTTAAGTTTTTCATTTATCTATGCACCTGGAAAATTTCATTGAAAAAAAAGTTGTAGCAGGGTGTCTATTTTTTGTCGCACTTTTCCTACCTAATTTTCAATTTTGCTGAAGTGGTCGCGGGAGACAGAGGGGTTAAATAAACATTGTTTACATTTGATTCTGATTAAATAAAATTTCAGTTTTTTTTTAGATTAAATAAAATGGAAAATAAAGATGTTGATAAAGGTTTACAATATTGTTTCCTATTTATTAAAATTTTAAAAAAGTTATTTGCCTTCAATGTAAAGTTATTGAAACTTATTAACTTTACATTGAAGGCAAATAATTTAATTTAACTGAATTTTAATGTTTCCTTACTTGAAAGTTGAATTTTTTAAAAATGTAACTGACATATTAGTAACATTATAACATATTTTATCTTACATTGTAATCATTAAAAAAATTGTTGTATCATGATGATCATGATACAACAATTAGTCTCTCCAATAACAATTGTAATAAACTACTACTAGTAGTAGTATATTACAATTGTTATTGGAGAGTCTTGTTGTATCATCATGATACAACAGTAAGTAGTATATTGTAATTGTTATTGGAGAAAAAAGTCTAGTTTTTACCTAGACTTTTTTATAAAAAGATGCACGATAATCATCTTTTTTTTTTAATGATTAACTGTTAATCTTTCAACTGTAACAAATAATATAAATTAAATATGGTCATATTTAACTAATATATGTTAGCAACCTTATTCAACTTTTATGTATAATAAATGTAACGTAAATAATCAAGAACATTTGTTATATTGTTTAGCTGCCCAAAGCAGTCCTACGGCAGCAGCCAACAATATCAGTTAGTTATTTTAAACATTAAATATTCATTAGTTTCTTTTAACTTAAGATCAGTAGATTTATTCAAATGTTTGTATTATTTTGCTAAAAAAAGTTTTTCATTTTTTGTTTAGATGATGCTTTTGAGAGGATAAGTCAGTTTTTTTTGGCGATTTATTATTTTAGTATTTAGTCTTTTGCTCTCAATATTAAATTATATATCTTTATTATGCTATGTGTTTTGTACCGATTTTTGTGCATCCACAAAGTTTTTTCACAGTTGTTTATTTTGTATATTCCTGATTATTTCTTGCTTTTTATTGAGTCATTGTTATTTTTTTTCTATAGACAATTTAGAACAAACTATTAGTAAGTAAAGTTTGAACTATTTTAGTTATTTAGTCATTTGAACTTTTTTTTTTTGTAATGTTAGTCTGATAATTTAATTTTATAATAAAGTTAGTATATTTAAATTGGCTTTTAGGCGAATTCAGACAGCAGTTTTGTAAGTTTAATAAATTTAAACAATTTCAATAGTATAGTTTAATGATTCATGCTAAGATTATTATTTAATTGATACAGGTTAAAGCTGTTTACTCTATTGACACACGCTAACTAAAGATGTAACGAAAAGTGTAACTTGAAATTAAGTTTATTTTAGTAAACTATTGTTATTACTATTGTTACTATTTTTTCCTTTTAATTCTTTAGCAACACTTACTTCATTAATTGGTAAGAGATTAAGGTGTATTTTTATGTTTAAGTATTGAGAAATATAGTTTGATTTTGTGTATTATGCAGTATTGTACTATTTAATATGTACTATGTTATTGTATATTTAATATGTACTATGTATTTATATTTAACATGTAATATTTACATGTACCATTTAATTTTTTGTGTCATTGTATTATTTAATCTTTCATATCCTTGTCATCTGTTGCAGCTGGTAAGGTTTCTATATTATGATATTTCAAAATTATTTATATGGCAAAGTAATTGCAAGAGCAAGTTTTTTGTTCATTACATTTTTTTTTTTTTTTTGAAGTATCATCTATAGCTGCTCTATCTGGTAAGGTTTTTTTATTTTAACTTTTTAATATATTTTTAATATTCAAATTTTAATAATAACTTCAAGATTGGTATGTGTATTATATGCTTCCATATTTTAAAGTTATTTAAAAATTGTATTTTTTTACTTTGTAACATGATTTAATAAAAAAAATCATGCAATATATTTTATACTAATCCAACTGGTAAGTTTATTTATTTTAACTTTGTAATAAGACTTTCATAGCAAGGTAATTATGAAAATAATAAATTATTATGATTTTTTTTTTTTAGTACCACCATTATCTGTTTCAGATGGTAAGAATAAATATATTATAATTTTGCAGCATTTTTTAAACGCAAAATAATTTAAGGATTTTTGTTTGTATTATGTTTTCAATTTTTTAGTTCCACCTTCCACTGATCTAACTGGTAAGGTTGTATATTTTTGCTTTGCAATATGATTTGCAATAAGATTGTGTAAAATGCTTTTTCATTTCTTTTTTAGTGCCATCATCATCTACTCCAACTGGTTAGTATATATGTTTTAACTCTGCAATATGATTTTAAATAGAATTTGTTATTAAGATTGTGTAAAATACTTTTTTATTTCTTTTTTAGTGGCATCTTCATCTGCTCCAATTGGTTAGTATATATGTTTTAATTCTGCAATATGATTATAAATAAAATTTATTTTTAAGATTGTGTAAAATGCTTTTTTATTTCTTTTTTAGTGCCATCATCATCTACTCCAACTGGTTAGTATATATGTTTTAACTCTGCAATATGATTTTAAATAAAATTTATTTTTAAGATTGTGTAAAATGCTTTTTTATTTCTTTTTTAGTGCCATCATCATCTACTCCAACTGGTTAGTATATATGTTTTAACTCTGCAATATGATTTTAAATAAAATTTATTTTTAAGATTGTGTATAATGCTTTTTTATTTCTTTTATAGTGCCATCATCTGCTCTAACTGGTTAGTATATATGTTTCAACTCTGCAATATGATTTTAAATAAAATTTATTTTTTAGGTTGGGGGAGGGGGTTACACGCCCCTTCCGTACATCAATGCAAGTTGTGTATTTGAATTCCTGTAAAATATAGTTTTATTATGTATACTATTGATTTCAATGTAGTAAAGATAAAAATTTTAATGAAAACAAGTTATTTTTGATGCTAGGGTGTATCAAACCATCACCACCGCACCCACCTCCATCGTTAACATACGCCTCTCATATAATCGGTGGTTTAATATAATTTTATAACAACTTTTTTTGTATATTTAAATTACTTATGTCTTGAAAAAAAACTTTTTTTCTGAAAAAAATGTTCAGTTTCATTAGGGTAAGGTAGTGGTTTGGTGCCCCCTCTGTCCATCCGATACGCCCGGTGGTTAGAGTTCAACAAAAATTTGTAGCCCACTCTCACACCTATCTTTTGACACCAAGATATTTGTATTTTGATAAGAATTAAGAAAGTTATGACAATTTAAGTGAGGAAAAACATAATTTTGACCACAGTTTCTTCAACAATTCCATATATCAAAAAATCGGTACTTAAACCGTCATAACTTTTGAACCAATTGTTCGATTTTTAAAATTTTTTCACCTTTAAAATACTGTATTGATTCTCTTTCCAATGATATATAACAGTAGAATATTTAAACAATTTGAAATTTTTACTCACGTACCTACTGTTAAGTTGTTTTTAGTTCTGTTAAGTTGTCAAAAGCTGTGAAAATAAAATAGTGAATTGAGTTTAAATTAACCAGAAAAGATATAAACATAATCTCTGGGATTCAACTTGTAAGGATGTTCCAAGAACCACTTAGTTGGAGAAGGAAAACTGTGGTAATGTTTTAAAAGTATCAGAAAAGGAACTTAATTAATGCACAAGATTTTACTTCGTAGTTAAATATATTATATTTAACTACGAAGTAAAATCTTGTGCATTAATTAAGTTCCTTTTCTGATAATTTTTTCACCTTTAAAATACTGTATTGGTCCTCTTTCTAATGATATATAACAGTAGAATATTTACTACAGTAGAACAATTTGAAATTTTTACTCACGCACCTAAATATAAGCATATAAAAGCAATGTTTATAAATAATACACTATTATTTATTAAAATATAATTATTTTTATTTGTTTATATTTAACTAATGTAAAATGCTCGTCTTTAGTTAAAATAAATTAATTTATGCACACACTTTGATATTTATTATGCTTTTACATTACTATACTTTATAAATTACATATTTAATAAATTTGTTATGTTTTAAATAGTTAAGTAAAAATATAATAAATTTTTGAATTTAATGGTGTGTGCATAAGTTCTTTTATTTTAAATTTATCATTTTATTTAAATTACTGCATTATAAGCAGGTAAGTTTGACTGACAATATAAATAACGTTGTATATCATGCAGACAGCTCAGACAAAGAAGTAAGTTTTTACTAAAAATTACAATTTATAAGTTATACTATATTTGTTGCTGTCTTGTTCTATATAAATGTTACTAACATGCAGGTAAAATTTATATATGTGTATAAATCTTTTCATTTTAAGCTTATCATTTCACTTAAATTACTACATTATTAGCAGGCAGGTTTGACTTGCAATATAAATTTTTAATTTATTTATTTAGTCGTTCATTAACAAGTCCGGTGCTTTATAATATATTTAAAGGTGGTAAGGACGTGAAGAAAACAGGTTTGTAAATGATGTTGTACATCATGCAGATAGCTCAGAAGAAGAAGTAAGTTTTTTTTTTAATTACAAAAATAAATATATAATATAATATTTGTTGCTGCCTTGTTCTATATAAATGTTTCTAACATGCAGGTAACATTTATATATGTATTAGTTTGAATAAATCATTTTAATTAAGTTACATTATAGGCAGGAATGTTTGACTGGAAATATAAACGATGTTGTACATAATGCAGATAGCTTAGGCGAAAAAGAGGCAATAATCTAATAATTGTTATCTATAAATAATGATATATTCATTGCTACTTTTTTCTATATAAATGTTACCAACAATTTGGCAACATTCATAATTGTGTATAATGCCTAATTATAAAGTAAGTTATAATAGATGATAATTATAAGTAAAATGAATCAGTAGATAAAGAAAACTAGTTAAAATGTATATAATAGTTGTATGATGTATTGTCTAGATTGGTGAAATGAAGAATAAGACTAACTACGGTGAAAAAATAATGAATATCAAAATGTGAATGGTACTTTGTTTGACATCTATCTGTTTCTACAGACACAATGCAGTCGCACTTATAAATGGGCTTGATGTTTTTTTGGATTGAATATGTTGTATTGATGGTTCTTTTTAACTTGTTAAAACTTTAAGTTATTATCAAATTTATATATACTATTTTTATCAAATAGTTAATATAAAATAATAAACATGTAAATTGTTTTATTTTCTGTAAAAAATTGTTTTATTTTCTGTAAAAAAAATTGTTTTATTTTCTGTAAAAAATTGTTTTATTTTCTGTAAAAAAAATTGTTTATCACTATGTATATCACTTATAGTATTATATTACTTGTAATTTTTTGTTTTATTTATTTTCAGTTTGTTATACATATGCATGCATTAAATATTGTGGGGAAGTCAAGTTTTGATGTTTTAGGTGCATTATAGCTATTATTTTTCAAAGATTTGTAGGATTTAACAAGATTTAAATTTTATTTTGTTTATTGATTTTATTCGGAGAAAGCGAATAAAATCAATAAACAAAACTTTGCTGATCGTTTTTCTCATTGTAAACCTTATTTTATTGAGATGAAAATTTTAAATATATTTGAACTCAACGTTTTAAAAATTTTGTTTTGTTTATATGTGAAAAAACAATCTATCCCCCCCAGTCTTTAAAGATTTTTTCAATTTAAAACCCAGCAACAAATACACTCTTTAAAGAAAAAATATTTTTAACGAACCTTTTTGTCAAACAAATTTTAATCAATTTTGTCTTGCCTATCGTGCACCGCACCTATGAAATAAACTTGTTTTACCTAATGTTGATTTGATTCGATAAAATTCTTTTTATCTTTTTAAAAACAAAATTAAAAATCTAATTTTTTCCCTCGATAACATTTTAGGGTACTATTAATTAATTTATCTATTACTTAACTTTTTATTATTTTTCCGTAAAGTTTTGTTGTTTGCAACTATTTATATTTAAAGATTTGCTTATGTAAGAAATTCTATATATATATTTTACTTTACTGTAACGTATACTTTACAAGGTATTTGTAAATTATATTGTTTATAAATGTTTTTAAGGTTCCGATGATAAGATCTTAGTGATCTTTCGGAAACCTAGTTTACACTGTTATCACGATTTGTATATATATATATATATATATATATATATATATATATATATATATATATATATATATATATATATATATATTTTGTAGAGTAATTTTAATAGTTTATTGTATTGTAAAACGACTAACTTTGTAAGCTGAAAAAAAAAAAAAAAATGATTTTATTTATTAAATGTTAGTGCCGATTCTTATACATGAAAACCCTTTTACATTCTCTTTGCATACAAAGCCATACATTACATTTTTGGCATTGAATGTATGAAAACCTTGCAGAGCATTTTTTTCATCGCTGTCTTTTCTCAGTGTTTGCTGGTAGATGGTTTACTCCGTCTTGTCTTACGTCTTGCGTTTGGTTGCTTTGGACCACAGATCTTTTAGCCTTTGGTGAAATTACAGTTTCAAGAGGTAGTCTGCCAACCTTACATTTCTCTGCCTTTATTAGACTTGTTCTACCTCTGCTTGAAACTTTTTCAAGGGCATATACTTTGCCTTTGGGTTTATTAATTTCAAATTTCTACGGTCAACACCCTTAGTTTCCTGAGTTACGCTCATATTATCAACAAAATGCAAATTACGCAAGATAGACCAGAAACGATTTCATTACAAAACAAAGCTAACTCCATCGTGGCTCATGCATGTTTTACAATACGATCTAAGGGATGGCATCTTAACCAGCCCCATCGTTAAATAGACACCAATGAATTTTTCAATCTCTTTTGTTGTTACATTAATACTTAAGGTGGTATGCCCCCTTTAAAATTATCTTGGAAGTGAAATCTTATAGTCAAAATTAAAAATAAGTCTATGAAAGATCTTGTTAAACGAAATTGATTTATAAAATTACAGGTGATTATGTTGTCATGACAACCACCTAAAATGGCGGATATAAGAAAATATGCACATCGCACTGTCAAAAATATCTCAAATTCTAATAGAGTGTTCATAGTAAAACTTGGCCCAATGATAAAAAACAGTTAGATCTATGCAATCTGCCAAAACTTTTTAAATCTGACTATTAGTTTCCATGTAGCACTACACGGATTATGAAGATTTTTAAATAAACAATTTTTTTAGTGCTAAAGCACCAATAACTCAAACTCTGAAATGTTTTATAATTAACTTTTAGCAGATTGCATGCATCATATAAAAACACATCACTGCTGAAAATTTGGTTAAAAACTGATTACTAGAAAATTAAATAACTGTGACGGGAGATTCAAAAATGGAAGTTAGCAAATAAAGACTTTAAAAATTAAAAAAGAGAAAAATATGCAAATCAGTTACTGAACAACAATGGCTAATAAAGTGCTATCAATTATCCTGTATCGACATTTTTTTTTTTTTATTAGAACTTGCAGAAGTATTAATAGGGTTTACCTTGGAATAAGATACATTTATTGAGCTCTGTGAATCTGTAGAAGATAGAAGACTAGTATTTACTGAATTTGTTTTATTTAAAGTATAATGATTTTCATGAATTGAGTTTTTTTTTATTGAGTAGCGAATTCTCTACCCATTAAAAGTATAAAGTTTAGTTTAGATAAACATAAACAGATGCATAAATATATATAACTTTAGGGTGACAATTCGTTTTAAAGAAACTTCCGCAAGAAAATTATGAGAAAACCGGTTATTGCTTTCACTCTTACAGATGTTTTGATAAATGGAAAATATAAACAAGTTAATAACTCATTTCAGCAAGCTTTTTTCTTAGTATTAAAATAATAAGTTTGGGGAGAATTTCTTGGCCAAATAAAAATATAACCGTTGCTATGGAGGTTGTCAAGGGCGCTTAAAAAAGTAAGGTTCAGTAAAGTTTGTTTTCCTCAAGTTATATACTGAATTTTAAAAAATGATTTTCAGAATACGATTCTATAATAAATTTTAAATAAAATAAAACGCAAAATTTTTTTTTTTTAAATTTAATATTTCTGAGGGGTATACCACCTTAAACCAGTAGATTGAGTACTGTATAAATTGCTTTTCTCTGTAATTGTTTTAAGAGGCTCATCCGTGACAAACATTTTAAAGTACTGGAAAAGAGTAGTCCTGTCATCAGGTCCTGCATCAAAAAAATCAATATTATCTACAGTCTTTGTTCATATTTTAAGGTTCATGATCTGAATATGATTCATTTAAGTCTTCAAAGTCACTCTCCCCATCAAGAATATAAGCAAGAGCCTCTTCTATGTTATAATTTTTGTTTTTATACATTTATAAATAATCATAAGTTAAAAAAAAGTTTAGTATGCATAAAACAACCCATTGTAGCATATCTGCTACATACAACATAAGCAAGCCATTTTATTCATATAAAAATATAAAAAGTAAAACAAGCACTTCCAAAAACTTCTTTATATTAAAAACCTTTTTTATATTAAATAAAATATTCATTTCATATCTTAACTATCATACAGTTTTATAAAAGAAAGTAATTTGAAGCTACATTATAGACAATATTGCAGTTTTTTAAAAGTAAGATTTGATTGTTGATGTTTGCCTTAATAACACAAGCTAATAATAATTAATTAGGTAATATAAGCAAATTGCAAATATGCCAAAATGGGCATTTTTGACATCAATAGATTAGCAATAGTCAAATGCCAGGCAAGTAAAAGGTTTGTAGCATATCTGCTATACGGGGCTCTAAAGGTTTAATTTAAATAATATTGTTGGAAAATGAAAAAAAAAAGGAATACATGGAAGGATTACTCAATATATACAAGTTGTATGACTTTTATAAAATTTATAACAAAAATGACTATAAAAAAACAAAAACAAAGAAATATTTATTTGATGCATACTATGAATATCCAAATATTTTTAATGTATGCAATGAGGAAACATAGCTTTAACCAACAACTGAGATCAATAAAAAAAAACCAAAAAAAAGACAGAAAATACAACTGCTTATATTGATCTTAAAAAAGTTTTATTGATCTTAAAAATGTTTGCTATTTTATTGTAAACTTTTACTACAATCATAAACTTTCTAATTATAATTTAAATAGTCATTGTTCACTTTACAGAAATGTTTATTTCATCCATAACTATAAAACCATAGCTGGCCAGTGCTTTCACGTGTTTCATGTGAGATGTATTGTTTGAGTTTATTATACGATACACTTAAATGAAAGTCGTTGAGCAAAACTTCTGTTAGCCATTTTCAAGACATATTTATGCGAATCTTAATAAAATCAAGATCATGAATTACCAATGAGCACCTTTAGGATTGTATACTAACAGAGTTATTGTCATACTCTCCTAGTTATGAGGCACTGGTCAATGATATGCAATGTCAAAGATCACATTGAAATATTGATATTAAACTTTTTTAGAAAATTTTTTCTTTGTATAGTGTTTTTTATTTAGTTTGTTTACGTTTTGTAAATACGTTTCTCTATGTGTATGTAAATTAAACAGTAACTTTATTATTTTCAAACAATTTTGTTTATCATTTATCAATAAATTATATTAATGATAAAATAAGACGTTATGGAAGTAGTTTGTCGATTAAAAAAAGATTGCCACCCAACCGATATTTTAGAATGTGCTCTAGAGTGCAAAAAGGTTAGGAACATCTGCTTAAGTCAATACATTTTGCCTTTATAACCATTTTTTGTTTACCAAATGAATTTAGCAAATATAAAAGATTATATTGGATTTAAAAGATTGCATCCAATATAATCTTTTTCTATATACAAATGTTCTGCTTTGAACCAGTTTTCATAGGCTAAAAAATGTTTGTGCTTTTCAACTGTTGAATAAGATGGGTATCTTTTTTTAGATGCCTGTTGGATACGATTTTAACCAGATTCACGTCTATTACTATTGCAGCGGCTTTTCAGCTGTGATTTTATTGTTGTCACATGTTAGCTGAACAAACATCTAGTATGAATCTTTTTGATTTTTGATTACATGGGTTAACAGATTGAACAAAGAAAAATCTTTCTGATTATATAATTTTCTTCGAGCTATAAGTAATATTGATTCAAAATTGAACTTTTATGTTTTGCGATTTATCCGACGTTTACTTTTTTCACTTTATAAGAGGTTTTTGACAA